ATAATTTAAAAGAGTAAATAATTAATTTTTAAAGCTATAAAAATTAATTAATTCGTTTCTCGAGGTGAAAAGAATTAATTTTGAATTTACTCCTTCATCCTCAAATGGGAACTTGAGATTTGAACAAATCACCTCCACCAAATCCATTCATCGTGGAGTATTTCTTTCACAAATTCTCTCATGGAAAACCATCACCAACCTCCAACAACATGGACCCACAAAAAGGTGAACCTCAAAAGGCACGACGATGGCCCACTAAATAAAGGAGCCATCCATCCCTATTTCTTTTCCCATCACCGTCCATTTTAGTCCCTAGGTTAATTGATGTGAATGGGTCCCAATCTATGACCTAAATTGAGTTAAGCCAGGGGTACTTTTGAATAAAAAAACTTGAAAGGGATGATGGTGTTTTCCAATAGTAGAAATAGTCGGTCTGGGCGTAGCAGAATATTTCGGCAACCTTGACCGATCAATTTTTTTTTTCCTACGTGAAAAGCACTTAATTTTGCACACCAACAAACAAGACCTCTTTAGGTCATAACTCCAGAAGAACAACTTTCGTCCTATTTTTTTTGTGAAATCAAACGCACTTAATTTTCATGTTAATTAAATTCTGTTGTTATTTTCATTTTAAACCTGTTTTGTTATACAAAATGTTGTTTCTGATGTTTACGGTATTGTTGGATCGGTTTTATGAAGCAAAATTAAATTTATGTTTTTGGATGCTCCATGTAATATGATTTTGAATTTCTTATTTTATTTTTTACTACGAAAGTTTATCGAAGTTTCATCTTAAACTTATTTTTTTATGGGATAAAGTAAATAAATTATTTATACTGAAATTAATGAATTAAAAAGAGATTGTCTTTTCTGATCTATTCAAGCCCTAAATGACAACACGGATGAACTCATTTATTATTTTATGTACGTAAAGATTATAGATGTCCAAAATGGCAAATTTTTTTATTTTTTTACATATTTATAAATATTAAAATATTTTTATATCAACCGAAATTGAATCTATCAATTTTTTAATCTAAATGAATATTAGATTACGTCTAACTTATAATCAATTTCAAAGATCGAGGTTTTTTAAATCTACTCGATAAGTCATATCAAATATCATCAAAAAAAAAAAGAGAGAAATCAAAATCAAAATCAGAGACATTTTCTTTATCACTCCACCAATAACCTTCTTTGATAATTACAAACTTTTTATTTATTTATTTTTACCAACAAAGAAGACAATTTCAAAGTGGGAAGAATAACCAGAGTTTTTCCTTTTCATTTTCGTGAATTGTATGAATATCTAGATGGGATCTCCAAAAAAATTAAGACTCAAACAACCCCACAATTTTCCCTCTTTAATGGTCTCTTTCACAAGAAGTTGTCAAGCTCCTGCTCATGAAGCTGTCAAGCTCATGCTCTTGAACTTGTCAAGCAAGACTAGTAGAATTATTATTAAATTGGTAGCATACAGCTTGTCAAACAAGAATGTTAGAGTCAATACATTAGGCAGAAAAGTGTAAAGATAAGAACGTATTTAATTTCACAGAAAATGGTCTGTCATAATTCTTTGCTCTTTGCTGTAAACGTAAGGCCGTTTCAACCATCCTAGAATTCTGTAACTTTGACAATATCATTCAAACTTTTTAAGCAAAAAAAAAAAAAAAAACAAGTATTTTCATACCAAAATACGTGAAAATTGACCAAAACTTCAACTTTTGGACTCGAATCTTTTTAGAGGAATTTTTTCCATCTCTTTCGACAAAAAGGCAAAGGCTTGTTGCTCAAAAATCCTAAACCCATTCAACATTCAATCCCAATTAACACTTTAATGACCTTAAAGTTAAAAGCATTATTATTACTATTTCTACCAAATAACCAAAAAAAAAAAAAAAAAAAAAGCTATATGGGATTGAACTGAATTGACACACCAAAAAAGGTTTTATCTGGTGCAGATATATATAATTAGTCTTGCTCATGACCGTCACCAAATAAAAAACTAGTACTTTAATTCACCGTCATAAAATTTACGAGTTATTTATAAACCAATCCCTCTAATTTTAAAAAATAAATTAATTATTTTTTTTAATTTTAAAAACTAATTATTTTGTCTCTTAACAAATATTGATTATATTTAATTTAATATTATTTTATTTCAAAAAACTCTTATTTTCTCATCAATCTTTCCATAATATCTATCTATTTTTTTTATTTTTTAAAACAAAATAAATAAATAAATAAATTAGAAAATAAACAAAAAAGATCAAATAATTAGTTTTTAAAATAAAGAGGATTGATTGATTTTTTCTATTAGAATAAAAGTGACAAGTCCCTTGTAACCTAAACTTATAAAAGAAATCATTTGGAAAGAAAATGATTACTTTCTTGTGACGGTAATCCGTGACAAATATATTCTATCAGAATAAATGTGATGGTCTCTTATAATTCATGACCAAAAAAGATTTAAAAGTCATTGGCGATTTCAACTATATATATGAGAAGTAATAGACAATTTTATTTCGAACGAATAGAAAACAAGTAACATGACTTCGAAATCATAACTTCTTTTGTTTCATGTTCGCTAAAACTAAAACAAAACTACCATAGCTTCTTTTGTTTCATTTTCGGTTTAATGTTTTCAAACTAATATGTACATATCAATACGAAGTCAAGTTTGATTTTACAATCTCAGTTTGTGTAAAAGTGTTTCTCAAATTTTGGTCAACTAATACTTTGAAATCTTTTTTTTTTTTAAATAATTCTAACATCTTTATATCAAAACATTAATTTGAAAATTTTTTCGATTAAAAAATTTGTTATAAAAACATTAATATCTTTCTAAATTTTTTAATCAACTCAAACAAGCCATTTATACAAGATCTTCCACTCACCTACAAATTGCTTGTTTTTTATCCTTTCTTAAAAAAACCCTTTATACTTCAATTTCCCCTACAAATTCCTCTCGACCCTTCCTACAAGATTTTGACTTCCTCTTACATATTGCACGATATTAGATTGACATTTCATGGGACTTAAAGAAAAGAAGTAATCAAGAAATTGAGTGATTTACTTGCAAATTAATACGATGGAGGTTGACTCTGGCAATGTAAATGGTCAAGAAAGTGAGTTAGAAAACATGTAGGCAATGTTCCCTGGTCAAGCATCATGTTTAGTCATTAAGGAACTAGCCGCTTCCATTAATTATATTGTATAAGCAAAGAGAGAACTCACGTGAGAAGACCATTTAGAAAATTTGAAGCAAGAAAACGCGTTAAGTGATTGAATTGCACGATTTTCTTTCTTTATAGCATGGTTTGATTCATCGTAAATGCAGAGGTTGAAAATTATTTCTCATATATATCTGATAGGTCATAAAAGATTTTCTCTATAACTTCTAAAATGGTTTGCTTTAGATTTCTTCCATGGATAAGATCTTGTAGCTTACCCGAATATCTTTGGAACTAAGACTTGGTAAAGATTATATCGAATATTATGTAACATTTTAATTATTTTTTATGTTATAAGACTAAACACCCATTAATGCCTGTTTAAGATTCACTAATCCCATCTCCCATTTTTTTTTTTTTTCATGTAGAGTATAAAATATCCAACGAAATAGAAACTCCATATTGCAGCAAATAATAGCTATTGGGACTGTTCTTCAGAATCCTTAATTAACAAATGCCTGGCCCATGCACAGCATAGCACTAGTTGACCATCTATATTTTTATGACCTCTCAACAAAGGATTATATTTTCAATTCAAATCAGATGAGCAGTTAAAACGTCTACAAGAAAAGATGTGCCTTTTGCTGTGTGCTTTGTGGCCAAATTCTTGTAAGCCATACCCACCGAAGCAAGCTGGCATATATCTCCTAACAAAACCCACCAACCCTACCCCCAAATGGATAGCGTTGCTGCATTATTATTACATCCGCATGGCAAATCACGAGCTAGCTAGCTAGCTAGGGCATGCTTGCAGCATTAAATTCTCTTAACTTGCCATAGATATATCGTTTCTGGTAGGCTTCTTGCCATGTGAACAATAGAATATTATTTGTCTTGCAGTTCTGTTCCAAATGTGAAAGGATGGTGGCACAAGGTGAGTGAACAAATTTCAAAGGGACAGCAAATCCTTACGGAACTAAGGCAGATGCATATGGTACTACGGAAAATCAGATCTGGCAATAAATTCGTAACCTGTTCATTTTGGGTGTGGGGCTCATGAAAATTTATTACAAAGTTTGAGACAAGGTCCAAGATTGTCCAGCAATGTAAGTCAGGAGTTTTAGCTGGCAGTGCAGACCTTATTAGTGTCATGTTTATGGATATGATCGCTAAATTATTACATAGATCTCAAATCCAAGGCATGCAGCACATCTTGCCCTAAAGTTTTTCTGAGTGAGATTTTCCGGTTGCAATCCTGGAGATCACAGAGCTATTCTGACAGGCAAGAGTGATGATTTCACCTAACATGGATCTGGCCATTGAATCCAGTTGTGGTTCAACTGCTAACACCCTAGTCCAATTCATAAACTGATACAAGTGGAATCAGGCCCAGATTGACAAAGCACAAAATCTTGGTATTTGCATGAGGGCAGCAGTTTCCTAGATCATGAGTAATTGAGCATTTCCTAATGAAGAATGAAAAACAGGGTATTCTAATGTTGCCCAATACTAGGCCAACAGCCACTGAACCTTGACGAGGGTAGGTTTAATACTGATTCTTTTCCATGATCCCAACAAAGATTTATGTAGTGATCATTCAGTGTTTTAGTAAGAGGAAAAAAAAAAAAAAACTAGATAATTGTACAGGCAATCATTAAGTGAAAAAGAGGCAAAGTGACTAAGCAAGAAATATATATATTAAAGGAGGTAATTAGAGGCCAGTAAATTGCATGCCATATACATATACATACATAGAATTAAAATACAAGCTGGATTAACCATATTCACCTGTTCTCAACATCTGAAAGAAATAAATAAGACATCTCATTATATTGAATCATCAGACTCATCTGAATCACTTCTCTCAGGCTCTTCTGCATTAGCTGTTGTTTCTGGCACATCAGGCTTTGCTTCAGGAGGAGGCTCAGGTTTCTTATTTGCTTTACGAGCATTCTGATCACGTTCTTCCTCTTGCTCATTAGCTTCAGCATGTAAGAATTCAGTTAAGGGTTAACTTGAATCATAGACATTCAATCAAAGAATACAGTCAATACACTATAACAGGTGTGACTCCAGTCAAACACGAGCTTCCCTCAAATTCTCTAATGGTAATGTTGCATTCCCTTGCTCACAAAATGAACACAACCAAATTTAACATTCAGAGCACAATCTACTACTGATTAATGGAGGTACTACTGAGCTAAGGTTAGTTAGCAACAATTATAAGTGCAAAGGGTGGTGCGTTGGTGTTGCAGTCCTGCAGATGCAACACAAATTGGACAGGAGAAAATTGCCCGTCTTCCAAAAGCATCCCTAATATTTTGCATGCTTAATAGGGGATGCTTCCCCAAGCTTTTCATTTTTGCAATAAATATATACCTATGGCTTGCTAGAAAGTGGACAATTTTTATTTTCTTTTAGCTGATTTTTTTTTTTTTTTTTCAAATGAATCTATGCATAATACGAAAGGATATCAGCATTTTCGACTGTGCCCCCTGCCATGATGTTCAGAAGATCTTTCTCAACACGCTGTACAAGCTCAGGCTGCAAAAGTAATAGAGACATAATCAGTAAAGACAAAATGGTGAAATGGGAAAACAAGAACAGCACTGTAACTGCACAAGTTCGATCCCAAACCACAAAAAAGAACAACATAGTTTTGAAAGTAGTGAGATCACTCATACATTGAGATCTGGCTCCCTGCGAAACCTTCGCTTTCGAGCATCCCTCATAGGAGGAGTGAGCCCATGTCTGTACTCCACCACATCTGGTGCAGTGTCACCTGCTTCTCTAACCATAAGCATCTGTCAAATTAAAACAGTTAATATTATAGCAATTATCATCAAATTATCCATGTCTTGTCAACAATATAAACCGAAAGCTTTCTACAAGCACTCTTACCTGACCAATGTCTGCAGTTTTTACTAGTGCACAATCATCATATGTTTTGAAGGACTCTACGACACAAGGAAGATCCAGGAGAGATGCAGGGAAATGTTCATCCCCAATGACAAATGTGCCACTCCTTCCATTCTCTGCAAAACAGGATAGTCCATGTTCATGAGTAAGCCAAGACTCTAGGCAAAGCAAAAAAGAATGATTTTCATACTACACATAATATTTTATGTTCTTTCTCAATCAATTTTCTCTTCAGTAACAAAATAATAGAATTAGAAAAAATTAAAAAAGAAGATAAAGAGGAAGAGAGAAATAAGTGTTTCAGAGCTGTGGAGAATGAACACAATGTTGCTATGACACTGTGGCCATATCATTTTCTCATCATTGCTACCATTCAAACCCAACACATACTTGAAGTAACAATTGTAGCTTTGTAATCAACATACAAAAAGATGAAGAACTTGTAAATAAAACTGTATTGACCATCAATAAAAGGCATTTGGTGGAAAATAGAAACGGGCACCAGATTCATACATGTCCTCTCCATACCACATGAATGCTAGAACACACTCTAGGTGGATGAGAAAGGGTCCAGAAATAACATTTGAAGGACATCTAGTTTCCAATTATAAAAGAGGCAGTTCGCAGTCAAGTTGTTAGCATGATAGAATTTATATCCCACCAAACTAAAAATTCAGAAAACCACAACAGGATCTATCCCCATATGGGAAAATTTCAACCCGCATGCTCATTAGAAGGAATAAAAACATAGCGCATGACTTTGTTCACAGAGCCGTGCTGCCAGGTAGATAACTAAATTGAAGTATTAAACCGTAAAGTTAGAATTGAAAGGATAGAGAACAGATTCCAAACATAGGGATCATAAGCATGAGGTAAACATGAAATGTAAGCTTTCACTGTTTTCATACACTAAAACTCAAAGGCAAAACCAATTTCCACCTTATTCTTTTAATACATGATTACAAGCAGAATGCAGGAAAAAGGTAAAAAACCATCATTATCAACGAAGGAACACCATTGTGGATTGAATCAAATGTAATACCTAAAGTTCTATATATGTAACAACAAAAAAAAAAAAAAAAAAAAAAAATATATATATATATATATATATATATATATATAAACTATAATAAACAAAATCTCTCTCATAAAATGCAAGGAAAACATGCTCTCACCTGAAAACGACAAATCCAATGATTGTTCCTCAGAAGAAGAAGCATTTTCGCTCAAAAGCCGATCCAACTTCTCTGCAATAGAAGGTGGAACTCTAAGTATAAACTGTTCCTCCATTCCTAACATCACAAACATTCAACATCATATTAGGAATCTACACACTTTAATAATACATCCCCAAATCAACACAAGTAAAATCTTTCTCAAAAACCTTGCATTTCTTTCCTAAAACTATAGCAATTTAAACTAGCCGAGATCCTCATAAAAAAAATAGACTTCTAGAATTTAGCTTCAATGACAGGGAGCATAATAATAATAATAAAACACCATTAGAATGTGCAAGAAATGAAATTCCAAAATTCAAAGATGCTCTAAACCTCAATTTATACAGATGGGCACCCAAGATTCTTTCAAAATTCTACATAGACAATAAAAAATTATCCTAAAACTGCAAGCTAAAACCTCAAGAAGAAAAGGGCAATGCATATGCATTTAATATCACAAGAAGAGTTAAAACCAAGTTAATAGCTGCAGAAATAAGCAAAACCCAATTTAAATTATACCCAAAATTGTTGAAAATAAGCATTAACGGATCAAAACAAGCATTAAAAAAGAATTATTCTTTGATCATCAAAATATTAAATTAAAAAAAAAAACAAAGGAGGAGAAAAGGGTTATTAACCTGTATTGATAGCTGCTTAAGGAGATGGGAACGATCAGCTCCAGCTCCTGCTTAAGGAGAAGCAAATTTCCCTGTTTCGCAGTGATCGTGTGCGTGTGTGTGTGGGAAACACCCGGAAGAGTCTCTGTTTTGCTTTAAGCTCGCAAGCTTTTATGTTTCTCTCATGTTTTTTTCGATCCAAGGTTTAATGTCACATTTTGTCCCTATTCTATTACAATTTAATAATTTCAGACCTTTCAGTATTAAATTATATAATTTGAATCCTAAACTATTGATTTTGAAAAAAATTTGATACAATTTTTCAAATTTTTATTACTTGTAACTGTCATATAAGTTGAATATTACTTAGAATGCCAAACGGATATCACTTTGGCATTTCATTTCTAATTATGTTTTTTTTAAGTATTTTAAAAATATTTTTAACTCTCTAATTTTGAATTTTTTTTAAAAAAATTTTTTTCTTATAAATTATATAAAAAAATTTATAAATATTTTAAGGAGGTCAACCTTAATGATACTCATTTTAATTTATAAAATGTTATAATTTATATTATAAATATTTTAATATTCATTGGATGTTATAAACATTTTATAAAAAAATATTATAAAAAAATAATTAACAATACATAATTTCTAGTCTTTAAAAAGACATTTTATAAATTAAAATAAGTATGATTAAGGGTTAATTGTGTAAATTTTATAAATTATAAATTATTTTAAAAAGCATAATTAACAGTGAAATGTCAAAATGATGTCATTTTGATCTTCCAAATAGCGATCAACTCAATTAATCATTACATATAATCGTAATTAGGAAAATTGTATCAATTTTGCTCAAAAACCAATAATTTAGGGTTCAAATTCCGTAATTTGATAGTAAGAATATGAAATTGCCAAATTGCAATAAAATGAAGGCAAAGTTTACCATTAAACTTTAATATGAACTACAAATACACCCTCCATTTATTGGGTATATTTCAATTAGGTCCCACTTCTACTGATTGCACCAATGTTAGACAAGTCCAGACTATACCATTCTTTTTTTCCCTCTAGATGCATATTTACACTGTTAAATTACACATGAACTTACACGAGTCAATTCTTGTTCATTTTTTGATTTGGGTTTTGGAAGAAAAGAGTGTGAGGAATATGAATGAAAGAAATAAATTTTTTTTTTTGACAAAATGATCAATCTATTAACTTTATTAGCTATTCGACGGACCAACGGCAAAGGATCGAATTGAAATTTTTGAAACATTTGTGTGTTAATATTGGGAAATTTTAATCTATAAAGATCAAATTGAAATTCCATACAATTAGGCTGATATATATGTACCAACATAGTAAAATGATCGTCCCATTTTTTATAAAATTCATACAGCAGACAAATCAGGAGAAGCTATCAATTATTTTTCCCATATTGAAATGAGAAGTGATTTGGAGGAAAATTCACTCTACTTTCATCATAAATCACTAGGATATATATACAAGAGTATTCCTAAATTAAATCCCTACACATAGCAATATTCATTAATTACATCCTATATTACAAAAGATTTATTTCAGGGAATTCCTAAAATAAATCTGATAGCCCTCATCTTAGGAATGATTTCCTAAGATCAATCTGATATCAATCCCAATAAATCTGGGTGGTTTTCCTTCTAATCTTCCAACACATATATTTTTGGAGTTGCACTGTCTCCTTCTGCTACAAATGGTACTTTCAGGAGTCAGGTCTTAGTCCTTGTCCTTTCTAAAACGTTTGCTGTTGCTTTGTTTGTCAAGCAAGTTGTCTTCCTCATCCACTGGACTTGTCTGAAAAAATTAGGGTAAAAATAGGCTCAGCATATATATGATGATGTTACATCGTAACAAAAGAATAGAAGAATGCTTTAGATTTTTTAACCTTTACATCTGTAAGATCCACATTGTTCTGTCTGAGGAATGTAAGGAAGTACTTCAAATTTTCTTCTGTGGGCTGATAATGCCTGCTGCGAGGCCAAACTGCCTGTTAAAAATAGACAGAACATGTTACATTCCCATAATAATTTAACCTAAGTCTCGTCTAACAATGGTTCTTTGTCTACGCAAATGCAAGGGATTAGTATGTGATAGTAATTGTACCTTAAGAATGCCATTTTTAACAATTAATCTACCAGCAGCAGTTGCTACTCCTCCAGCCAAGAAGCTAGAATGCTGAAACGTGCCTTTCTTCTTCTTGCCAACGTACAAGGTCTTAGAACTGCTGAGAACAAAAATCCACGTACCATCTTCTGTGGTGTTGATCAGAAGCTCCCCTGACTCTTTGTAGAGGAGCTTCCCATCCTCTATAACAACTTCGTATGCCTTCCTTTCCATCTGTAATGGACGGTAATTATTGTTTATCAGTAGAAGCATTTAGGTTAAAATTTAAGTAATGTTGAGCACAGAACAGAATTGTCAGTGGAAGCTCACCGGACCAAGATACTTGATGCGCTGGCGTTGAAGTATTGGTCGAGGGCATTTTTCAAGATTCACTTCCTTGCCTTCTCCTATATCTAACCTGCAGTTCCAAATCCAGCATATGCAAGTTCAACTTCGAATCCAGGTCGATCATAATAAAAAATTTAAGGGTAAATAGCTCAATTTATCTTCATATAATACCCGAATCTCCCATCCCATCTGTTTTTAGTTTTTTTAATTGCAGACCAAAGAAACTGACCAGTAAAAAAAAGGTTGTCTGCTTTGAGAACGAAGCCATCTAAAGTAATAAAAGTAAAGATTATGCCCATGTCGATGCCAAGGATCAATCTGTTTAAAGATTTGGAATAAGAAATGGCGATTTAAGAACAATAATTAACAATAAGCAGCTCCATAGAAATCCTGTACGTGTGATCACTTACTGCTTCAAGCCAGTAGTCCAGAGCAAGCTTTTGCGCTTTGTCATTCTCTGATAAACCTTTTCCAATCTTTGCAGCTCTCGTTTTTGCTCTTGACCATCGAGAATTGGCAGATTCATGTTCTTCCATGTCGAAGAATGAAATAGAACTCCGCTTGAGCTCAACAAAATCTAACAGTTTCCACCTGAGGCGACCATAACAAGCAATTATGTCAAGCAGAGGATCTTCAAAATTTCGTAAAATATATATGGAGCAGGACTTTTACTTATCAATAGAATTAAACATACCAGCTTTGCTCAACAAGAACTGCACAATCTGCTAGTTTTCTTCTTGTTCGGAAGCTTTTATACACTTTCTGCAATCTTAAAGCTGCCTGGTGTTTGTCCATTGTTGGAAATTCTAGCATAAATACAATCAAGCACAAAACCTAATCATGAAGTGTATATTATTACGGAAAAGCAGCTCAATCTGTCTCTATATACCAGGTGAGTATCGACTTCCGTCTTTATATCCTAAAACGAGCAAATCATGCAGTGAGTTTCCAATCTATTCTTCGAGTGAATTTTTCCAACTAAGCCATTAAAAAAAAAAAAAAAAATCACTTGACATGCACATAACTAATCAATTTATTTTAAGTTATAAAAACATATTGAAATCTGACATCATTATATACAACAGAATATGACTAGCTAGGCTATTTCTCCTATATATTATAATTTCAAAGAAAACATATTATTCTAACGACGAGCAAAAATCAATAAAACAGTAAACATGCATAAAAATCAAGAAAAAAAGCAAGAGCAAAAGAAGGCAAAGAGACCTTAAAACCAAAAAAAAAAACTTGTTTTTCAAGCGAAGCAAGAGCAAAAGGGAACGTCAAAGGGCCTTCAAGTTTTACGGCTAAGGCGAACTTGTCAAGTGATTTCTGCTTTCACATTTTTTTTCTTAGGAAACAACATAAGACAAACATCATATTTTTCCAGGTAATTGTCACACAAGCCATGTCAGGTTTTCTTTCCAATCCAAAAAAATGATTGGATGATCCTCATCTCATCATCACTCTTGATGCTTAACTTGCAACTTTCGTTCAACATTAATTTCAACTCACATAGCTACTGTAAAAGTATTTAGTAGTCATATATATTTATTATTAAAATACTTTAAAATTAAATAAGATTGAAAAACTACGAAAGTTCCATTCTGTAGCTTTTTATTTTTAGAAAAAATAGACATATTATCTCGGAAAAAAAAAGATAAAAACTTGATGTTTCACTCCATGCTTCTCTCATAATTAATGAGCCAATAAATTAATTACAGAAGCTATAATGTTTATTGGGGTATATTTTGGTAGATTGATGTGTTTGCACTATGCACACATTTAACTTTTTGGATGGATATAAGTGTTGAATTTTTTATTAATATTCCACTAGTATTATTCACCTTTTATTTATTTATTTTTCCTCTATTTTGTTGAAAGCGAAAGCTCAAAAGCCACGACCGAAGCTTCCTTGCTTTCTTTACGAATGATCCACAAGTTGAATCGGATATCCCAGAAACAGTATTTTTAATGGCTTAATAACAACGAAAAGTCTTTGTAAAGTTTAATTAAACCTTAAATAAATTTAAGGGTTAAGACTCAATCAGTTTTGGATAATTCTCTAATTTATTTTTATATTTCTAATCGAATTAATTATATCATTAAATTTATATTAATTTATCTAATTTATTATTTTGATCACCAACACACGGCAGAGTCTCGGTTTTGCTTTAAGCTCGCAATCTTTTATGTTTCTTTTATATTTTTAATTAAAGTACAAATAGACCCTCCATTTATTGGTTATATTTCAATTAGGTCCCTTTTCTAGTGATTGAACCAATGTTACCCTCAACAAGTCAAGACTATACCATTCTTTTTTCCCTCTAGATGCATATTTACCATGGTAAATCACACCTGCACTTAAACGAGTCAATTCTTCTTCATTTTTTGATTTGGGTTTTGGAAGAAAAGAGTGAGAGGAACGTGAAAAAAAAAAAAATGTTGACACATGGTCAATCCATTAACGTTATTAACCATTCGAAATACGGACGGCAAAGAATCAAATCGAACCATTTGAAATTTTTGTGTGTTAGTGATGAGAGATTTTAATCTATAAAGATCAAATTGAAATTCCATACAACTAGGCTGATATATACCAACATATAGTAAAATGATCATCCCATATTTATAAAATTCATACAGCACACAAATCAGGAGAAGCTATCAATTATTTTTTCCATATATTTTTGGAGTTGCATTGTCTCTTTCTGCTACAAATGGTACTTTCAGGAGTCAGGTCACTGCTTGATCAATGTAGTCCTTGTCATTTCTAAAATGTTTGCTTCTGCTTTGTTTGTCAAGCAAGTTGTCTTCCTCCTCCACTGGATTCTGGACTTGTCTGAAAAAATTAGGGTAAAAAAAGGCTCAGCATATATACGATGTTATATCATAACAAAAGAATACAAGTGTGCTTTAGATTTTTCAACCTTTACATCACTGAGATCCACATTGTTCTGTCCGAGGAATGTAAGGAAGTCCTTGAAATTTTCTTCTGTAGGCCGATAATGCTTGCTCCGAGGCCAAACTGCCTGTTAAAAATAGAAAGAAACCATTGTTAACAGAACATGTTACACTCCCATAATAATTTAACCTAAGCCTCGTCTAACAATGGTTCTTTGTCTACGAAAACGCAATGAATTAGTATGTGATAATAGTTATACCTTAAGAATGCCATTTTTAACAATTAATCTACCAGCAGCAGCTGTGACTCCTCCAGCCAAGAAGCTAGAATGATGAAACGTGCCTTTCTTCTGCTGGCCAACATACAAGGTCTTTGATGTGCTGAGAACAAAAATCCACTTAGCATCTTCTGTGGTGTGGAGAAGCTCCCCTGACTCCTTGTTGAGGAGCTTCTCGTCCTCTATAACAACTTCATATGCCTTCCTTTCCATCTGTAATGCACGGTAATTATTGTTTATCAGTAGAGAAGCATTTAGGTTAAAATTTATGTAAGGTTGAGCACAGATCGAACAGAATTGTCAGTGGAAGCTCACCGGACCAAGATACTTGACGCACTGTTCTTGAAGTTTTGGTCGAGGGCATTTTTCAAGATTCACTTCCTTGCCTTCTCCTACATCTAACCTGCAGTTCCAAATCCAGCACATGCAAGTTCAACTTCGAATCCCGGTCGATCATAATCAAAACTCTTAAGAGTAAATAGCTTAACTCCTTATGTAATACTCTTGAGTCTTCTATTTATCTCTAGATTTTTAATTACATTCCATGTGTTCATTCCATCAATTTTTCTGATAATGAAAAAAACAAAAAAAAATTGATCTAAATGCATTTGACTAAAATGCAAAAATGAAAAAACTTCTGAAAATGTCAAATATAAAACATGCGAGACTTAAAGTGAATCTTGAACAAAAGATTGACCATTTTAAAAATTTTTAAAAATCTAATAACACATGAGAGACTTAAAGTATTATATACGGATATATTTAATTATTTATCCAAACTTTAAAGAAATATGGATTAAAGAAACTGACCAGTAAAAAAAGGTTGTCTGCTTCGAGAATGAAGCCAGCTAAGGTAATAAAAGTGAATATTATCCCCATATCGATGCCTTGGATCAATCTGTTTGAAGATTTGGAATCAGAAATGATGATCTAAGAACAATAATTAACAATAAGCAGCTCCATAGAAATCATGTACGTGTGATCACTTACTGCTTCAAGCCAGTATTTCAGAGCAAGCTTTTGTGCATTTTCATTCTCTGATAAACCTTTTCCAATCCTTGCAGCTCTCGTTCTTGCTCTTGACCATCGAGAATTGGCAGATTCATGTTCTTTCATGTCAAAGAATGAAATAGAACTCCGCTTGAGCTCAGCAAAATCTAACAGTTTCCACCTGAGGTGATCATAACAAGCAATCATGTCAAGTAGTGGATCTTCAAATTTTCGTAGAAAATGGAGCAGGACTTTTACTCATCAATAGAAACATACCAACTTTGCTCAACAAGAACTGCACAATCTGCTAGTTTTCTTCTTGTTCGGAAGCTTTTATACACTTTCTGCAATCTTAAAGCTGCCTGATGTTTTTCCATTGTTGGAAATTCTAGCATAAATGTATAACACAAGCAGCATTACTTCCAAGCATGATTGATCGTTCAAAATTATCAGAAAATCATAATATAATGAAGCACACAACCTAATCATGGAGTATATATTATAATGAAAAATAGGTCAGTCAGTATCCAATCTTTTTTTATAATTCCAAAGAAAACATATTATTCTAACGATGAGCAAAAATCAATAAAACACTAGACTTTCATAAAAATTAAGAAAAGTTGTAGCATAAACATTGGATTTCTTCTATAAAAGCAAAAGCAAAAGAAAGCAAAGAGACCTTAAACCCGAAGAAAAAAAAACTTGTTTTTCAAGTAAAGCAAGAGCAAATGAGAACAACAATATATATAGAGAGAAAAGGTGTATGACGTTAAAAGGCCTTCAAGTTGGGCGGCTAAGGCGAACTTGTCAAGTGATTTCTGATTTCACTTCTATTTTATTTTATTTTCTTGCGAAACAACATAAGACAAACACAAATGTTTCCAGGCAATTGTCACACAAGTCATGTCAGGTTTTCTTTCGAATCCAAAAGGTGATTGGATGATCCTGATCATGCCATCACTCTTTTGATGCTTAACTTGCAAGTTTCGTTTAACATTAATTTCAAGTTATATAGCTACTGTAAAATTATTCAGTAGTCATATATATATATTTATTATTAAAATACTTTAATGTTAAATAAGATTGAAAAACTACGAAAGTTCCATTCTGTATATAGCTTTTAAATGAATTTTAAAACGGGTTTTATAATTTTTATTAATATTCCACTAGTATTATTTAACCTTCTTGGGTTGAAAGTGAAAGCTCAAAAGTCATCACCGAAACTTCCTTGCATTCTTTAGTCACGCAATTTATACATGAAAGCTTTCTATTTGAATGACTTGCACATGTAATTTGACAATAAAAACTAATCATTTACAAATCACATGAATAATACTATCAGTTTGAACTGAAAATCTTCCTTTTGCCGATCAGTAGTTTTAGCATGTAAGAATTCAGTCGGACATTTACTTGAACAACAAAACAAACAACCCTTATAAAGACGTGTGCTTAAGCAGATGAGAACGATCAGCCTCTGCTTCTACTGCTTAAGGAGAAGCAAACGTCTCTGTTTTGGCTTCGGCGCAGCTTTCATTTTTTGTTTTTGGTTAATTGTAAAATACAAATACACCTTCCATCTATTGGGTAGATTTCAGTTAGGTCCCCCTAGTGATTCCAAACTTTCACCAATTTTACCTTCCAAGATCGTACCAATCTTTTCCTACTATTAGTTGGACACGAATATGGCCTGTTAAATTAAACGAGGTATGATGCTCCTCCAATATATTAATATAATTTACGTCATTAGGTCTTTATTGAAACGTGTTTTTTTTTTATAAAATGCTGGTTGAAATAACGTATTAATATAATTGTATTCTGATAGTAAAATTAATAATAAAAGATTGTAATAAGGAAGTATTTGTCATTAAAAAAAAATTATGATGTTTGGGATTAGCAAGTAAGAAATAGACACAAGTTTCACATGTAATTTGATGGGAAAAAAACATTAGGTTGGTGGAAGGAACAAAGGAATATAGTTTTGATAGATTGAGGGTGACATTGGTGTAATCAGTAAGAGAGAGGGACCTAATTGAAACCTATCGAATAAGTAGAGAGCATGTTTGTAACTTTGTCCAACGTATATTTGTAAATAATTTATCTTTGAATTAAATAAAACGATTTAAAAGTTTGAAAATTCTCATAAATGCCTTAGATTTCCCATAAAAAATCGATATGGTCCTTTTTTTTAGTTAACCAAGAACAGCTGATGATGACACTCGTTTTTTATTATTTTTTTATTTTTTAAGTACTTTTGGAATTTAAAGAAGTTTTTTATGAAATAGTATGATACGCATAATGTTTTGGGGGAAAAAATAAAAATAAAACAATAATTTATTGTTTCCATTATTTTTTTATGCAATATATTTTTAGAAAAGTATTTTATAATCACGGAATGTTAAGTTATATTTTTATAAAGCAAACATGTATTTTTAATATCTTCTGATATCTTAATTATTGAAAAAGAATTCCCACAGTACGGTGCACCTTCATGGTAGCATGGGTGAGCCTAGAGTGATGGACACGGACGCTCTTGGTTCACTCGTAGATTTGAAGAGGTGGGACCCCCTTGGACCAAAAGAGAATGTGATTACATCATCAACATTTTCAAGGAGCAGGGGCTCACCATAGATTTGAAGAGGTGGGACCACAACTTGCAACAGTCAGTAAACTTGTGGTACCATGATCATGCCATGGGGTTGACTAGAGTCAACTTATTCGTGGTCTTCATGCTGAGGCTCCACTTAGACTGCCGTATGCTGAAGAATGCGATCGGACGTTCAAAAAAAAAAAAAAAGTGAATATGTGCTCGAATCAGTTTTCAAGCAACTCAAGAATAATTCTTTTCTAAACGTGATCAGTGGACGTTCTCCAATGTATAATTTCAGATATTCTGATAATAAATTATCAAGATTATTGATCATGAAAATCGAATCCTAAACTTAATCACGTGTTCATTCGTGATTGGTTATTGTTAATTTTAATATGCTACTTTGGATGAAAATTTAACAAAGGATCTGAATAAAAAAAATTATAAAAGTATAGGATTTCAATCAAGGTGAAAAAACATAGAGGATCCCAATCAAGAGTTTGGATAAAATGTGAGATAAACCCTTTTTTCAAAAGATATTTTTACGTTTTCAAAATATATTTTTAGCCCATCATGTTTTTAGACTTTAAAATTAACATATGTAGTGGATTATATTATTCTTATTGTTTAAAATTAATCTTTTTAATTTATCATTTTTAAAAAAAATTCAATTAATTTTTTATTTTTCTATTTTACATAATTTTATTTGTCTAATAAATATAATTTATTTTTTTCTATCTATGAATTTTTAAATATTTTAAATAAATAAATAAATAACCAATAAAATAACGTAATTCACGTGTTTTATGTGTTTTTTCTTAATATAATCAAATTCTATTAAAATAAAGTGTTTAATTGTTTTTATTGCACTTTGTTAACTTGATTATATTCCTTACAACTTAAGTTTTGTAAAATATATTTTTTGATTTATACCGCATATTCTAATCCATTGAGTATGATCATGATATAAAATATTGAGATCATTGGTTTAATTAAAAATTAACTATGCATCTACACATACAATACCAATTATTTGCTATTTTTTTTAAACACTTTCACCTAGACTCATTCACACTATTCACCAAAATTCATGTGCATTATTTATTTCACTATGCAGTTACATTTTTGTAGTTTTAAAATATTTTAAAGACATTTATTATGAAAGTTTTCGTGATATTACACTTTGGTTTTTCTTTTTTAAACATTGTTTTTTAGACGGCAAATTTTTTTATTAAATTTTGGTCTCGTTTTGTTTTATTTTGATCATTTTGGTCATTTCTTCTTTTTTTTTTTAAGTACAAAATTCAAGGCAAAAACACGTTTTAAAAAATAATTTATAAAATAAGTTTTTAGCTAAGAATATATTGATTTTGATATTTTTGATATTATTATAATTTTTTTAGTTTGTGAATAGAGATAAATAAATAAATTTTTATTCAATTTTGATTTGATATATTTTGATATAGACATAATATTATATGAAACATTAATCTAAAATAATTTTTTTAAAAATAATTTTATACGCTCTGTTACATCCGCAGCACGTGAAAAAATTAATCCCCAACTATAAGAAAATACGGCCCCTGGTATTTTTATCAACATCATGTTAGATTTACAAAACTTCTCAGCCATTAGATCAACGGGCCTGGACCCACAAGTCCAAAGGCATAGAATTTCTTAACTTAACCCTAGTTAACCTTTACCCTCGTGGTGTATATATATACAAACTCTCTAACCATTCTAGTCTCTCTCTTTCCGCACCAGTTATCGCTACGACACCAGCCGTCTGCTCTCAAATTCAGCCCCCACAAAACCCTAATTCTCCGATTCACAGGTCTCTCTCCGTCTTTTTCTCTCTTTGTTACGATTCAGCATAGATTCCTACTGTCGTTTCGATCTCTGTTTAACCGCAGCTTATTTGCGTGCGTAAAGCTTGCATATTAGTGGTAATTAATGCTGATTTTGTTGCATTAATCGAGCTCGCTAGGGTTTACTGCTCTATTTAGGTTAATGGGTTTTTATCAAAGCAGGAAATAATCAATGGGTTAATCTCAAAAAGTGTATGCCTGCAAAAAAAAAAAACGAATAACTTGATGGGTTTAATGTGTTATTAGTAAGGAGATAATGGATTTGGGTTCTTTCTTACATTACATGCTTAGGTTAATGGTATGATTGATGGGTTCCTTTTATATTTTAAGGTTAATGAGTTACTTTTGTGCAATATTATGTGTTAACCCTGTTCAACTGTGGAGGAGAGAAGCAAATTTATGAGTTTTCTACAAAAAAAAATGAAGAATTTAATGGGTTTGGTTTGTTATTAGTAAGGAGATATGGGTTAGGGTTAGGGTTATTTCTTACAATTTAATGGGATTTTATTTAAGTGTAGGTAATGTTTTTTTCTCTCTCTATATGTTAGGGTTGATGAGTTACTTATCTACAATATTAGGTGTAAAGGTTACTATTGAACTGTAGCGTAAATTTGTGGGTTTGCTGCAAACAACATGACCGAGTTTAATGGGTGAATAAATGTTTTATTATTGACAAGATAATGGAGTTAGGTAGCTAGGTTTATGAATTTTGTGATGGTGAGATTTTTCTTTTTTTCTTTTTTTTTCTTTTTTTTGTAGTGTGGATATAGTTAGCATTTTGTTTTATTATTTAAGGAAATAAAATGATTAATCTGGCCTTATGAGGGTGAAATCCCACTGTTAACCAAAGTGCTAATCTATGATGTTGGAAAGTAGGAAAAGAATACAACAATGAGAAATTCTAAGTCATCTATAAAAGCTCTGGAAGTAAGGATCGTAATGAAGAATAGACATAGTTTGGTAGCAGAGTTAAGTGACTAGGGAATCAAGACAAGGAGGACAGGAAGGAAGAGATTAGGAGTTCGTTTAACACAGAGTAATCTTTGACTTATAGTGTCCTTGAATTGATGTATGGCACGCTAAGGTCCATTTTTGGCAGTGAACTTCACTTGTTGTGTTATTGGAAAGTCATTCACTTAAACTAGATAAACATTCTTTGTCATATGCACTAGCAGTGGAAGTTGTTGCACAAGATTTAACAGTTTCTTACTCTGGTTGGGCCTTTTCTTCCTTCTGATACTATTTCCTTGGCAGGTAAGTTTAAATTGGACAGAGACAGCAAACAATTTTGTGTAAATGAGAGGAAGGAGTTATAGTCCATCTCCTCCAAGGGGCTATAGTAGAAGGGGAAGGAGTCCTAGTCCCCGGGGGCGTCACGGTGGTCGTGGTAGGGATCTTCCTACCAGCCTCCTAGTTCGCAACCTTCGCCATGATTGCAGGTTTGCTGCCTTTTCGTAACTTCTGTTGTTTAACATTTGTTTTTTTTTTGTGCAAATAATGGGCTATCTAAAAAATGTTGCTTCAACATCTTTGTTTCCTTGCTTTTATACTTGTCCAACTGAGACTGGCTTGGTACAGGGATCACACATGTTTGAGTGTCAGAAGGTTAGAGAGTGCTAAGTTTGCTTAATGAGCATTGTTGATCTCAGGTTCATATTAATACATAATGAGCATTGCATCTATGTGGCCTTGGTGCTTTTAGCCAATTGACCATAACACTAGTTGTCTCCTAAGGAAAGTTTTACTTGTGCACAAGAGACAGACAGAGTGATTGCAGAGTTATTTTGTTTCCTGGCAGAGAGAAACTTCACACAAGTTAATGATTTAACTGGCGACTTTCATGTTGCTGAGAGTGGGAACCTTCTCAAAACTAAACTTATCATTATGCAGTATTGCACCTCTTCCTATTAATAACTGGATATTTTGGGACCATAAAATTTAGTTTTGTTTCCATCATAAATACATGCCAATTACTTCTACGCTTTTTGCAGGCCTGAAGATCTTCGCAGGCCCTTTGAACAGTTTGGTGCTCTCAAGGACATTTACTTGCCTAGAGACTATTATACTGGGTGAGCAAGTCTTTTAGCTGTTCATGTATGAAGTTGTTTGCTGAAATGCCTTGTTTTTTTTTTTTTAATATTTCTTTATAAAGTTTCAAGTGGGGTTTTTGCAATTTCTAATTATGGTTTCTTGATGTTTTGTGGGGTTCATGGAGTCAATAGTTTTGTTTGGTTTTTATTTCAAAATTAATCCCCCTTTTGAAACAGATGGGACAAATAATGCGAAGTTCTTTCTACAGCTTTCTGTTTTATTTTTTATTTTTATTTTATTTTTTTGTCTCCTTGATCAGTAACACAGTGTGTCTTGTTTTTATATTTTCTGGTTTCCTTCCTACACTGTATCAGAAACTTATTAGCTTGAACTATCAATTTCACAAACTTTTGAATGTTATCATTATTATAATTTTTGGGAAATTAAAACAATGTTTAGCAGTCTGTTTGGTTATCACCAAGCAGGCCCTATAAGCCCTCCTTTCCTTCAAATTTCTTTTAGGTGATCTCCTCATGATATACTCTTCTATAATCATAAGTTGGGCTCGTTAATTGAAGTTCTTGAGATTTAACAGTGAAATTAAAGTTTTGAAGACATCAATCAAGTAATTAGAGTTCTTTTGAAGATGATGTTAATGGTAGTGAAGATTTGAAGGAAGTTGGGTTTGAATACATTGTGAAGAGATTCCAAGTCTTGAAGAGTTTCAAGTCATCTTTAAACTGGCACTTGCAAGGTCAGCAGTGTGCTTGCTTTTCATATCATGACCTTCATATAATGGGGATTATGTTGGTAAATTTCATTGGCAGAAGGTTCATGGTTCTCGTGCTCAGTCCCTGCTTTTGTGGCTGACGGTGACACTCATCTTCTTTTTGTTTCTTTATCATCTTCTTTTGTCAGGGAACCCCGTGGTTTTGGTTTTGTGCAATATTCAGATCCTCATGATGCTGCGGAGGCAAAACATCACATGGATGGTCGAGTTCTTCTTGGCCGGGAGTTGACTGTTGTATTTGCTGAGGAGAATAGGAAGAAGCCAGTTGACATGAGAGCAAGGGAGTCAACAAGGTAGACTATCTTTTGTTTGTTGCCTTATGTGGTTGACTTTGATTGACATGAATTTTTTCTTTGAACAACTATTTATCTACACAGTTGGATAAATTAGATGATTGCTGAAATGCTGGTGTTTTATTTGTTCATCTCTTTCTTCCTATTGTGTTTTTCCTTTCTAGTTGAGTTGAGAGTATGGAGGCATTGGTAACCTGTATCTGGAATCATATGTATTGGGGCTCAATGATTTGAATTATTCTATTAGAAAATGAACTTCAACAAATTAAAAATGATTAGATTAGATACGTTATTGGATTCTGCTGATTTCAGAAGTTTTGGAATGCAAGGTGGAATTGTTTCACATACCAATCATGCCATGACATGATATAAGGATGTTTTTGAGACTTGTATCTTGGAATCTATAATTTCGTGTTCAGGACTTGTTTTAAAGCTCTCTTAGTCTAAATTCTGGGTTGTACTCTATGATTTTAATAATCTTCTAGAGTTTTCTTTTTCGATATCCTTTAAATGATTTCATTCTGTTTCAGGGGTCGATTTCGTGATAGAAGAAGATCACCTCCTCGTTATTCTCGGTCACCACGCCATTCTCGTTCTCCACCTCCGCACCATGCAAGTTCCCGGTCCCACAGTCGTGATTATTATTCCCCTCCTCCAAAAAGAAGGCATCACTCAAGGTATGTAATAATTAATTCATGTATTTTTTTTTTTTTTGTAGGCACCCCATATAAGTCCCTTATTTAGGAACTTGCTAGCCTTTTGCTCCCAGAAGCAAGTGCATTTGGCTGTTCCAAACTGCATGTGAAACATTGCTAAGCATTCCTTTTTAGTTCAGGACCCAATATTTCTCCCTGGTTTTTTATTTACTTTACGTATTTAGCCTCTACCTCAAAACTAAACTTATGCATCTATGCGACCTTCATGTTGCTGAGAGGGAACCTTCTCAAAACTAAACTTCACACATATCTTCCCATTGCTCCCTCTTTGATTGTGCATGTCCTGGCCTTTTACTTTGAAGCAGATCTATTTCAGCCCAAGAGAGGAGATACAGTCAAGGGCGGTCATATTCACGATCAAGGAGCCGCAGCCAAACTCCAATTAGGGATCAGAGCAGGAGCCCGGTTAGGGTCAGAAGCCCGAGCCCAGTTAGGAGCAGAAGCCGCAGCCCAAGAAGAAGCAGGAGCCACAGCCCAAATCATGAGGAATATCCTAGGGAAATAAATGGAGATAGGTCTCCTACTCCTTAAACCCTGTATGGAAGCAGATGGTTGGAACATTGCTTGTCTTTTGAATTATGTTCTTTATGTGAGTGCTGTTCTATCGGATGGGATTTGGTCTAGGTTTTGTTGGCGTTTGACTTCAACTTTGTAGAATACTTTATTGTTACTGCAGTTAATCCTGTTGTGTGGGAGAATTTGAAATTCAAAAGCATCTAAAAGATTGTTGATTTAGTTATTTGCTTTTCAAGCCCTCTATCAAGAGGTCCTTCATTGCTTCACGATGCAAACATTTTGGGTTGCATTTCCACCCTGATTTGTTGTTCTTGTTCCCTGCAAATGTTGCGGTGACTCGACCAATCTCGTTGGGGATGGTGGGGGAATGAGAGACTGGAGCTGTTGTGAATCTCTTTTGTCTTTTTAGCAAAAGTGGGGTTTCTAGGGTGTCAAAAGGTGTAGAAAAAAGGAGGTCCTTTTGACGTTTGGTACCCTCTGCATTCCACTTTACAACTCAGCAGGGCATCTAATTTTATGTTTCTGTGCAGTGTTTGGTCCATATCAAGTAGGGTTTGCTATCAAGCTTTTTGACGTCACATTCATGTTCTTTGCTTCTTAGGGCTCAACGCAAGGAGATAGAAAACTTTGTTGATATTTTAGTCAAATTGACGCTCCCATCAATCTTGGTCCCTTGCGAACCCCTTCAAAGGCATCATGGTAGATTAAGTTTCTTCTTTTTTGGGCTTGGGATGTGGATTGTCTGTAATTTGGGTTCAAAAATATGATCTGCTCATCAAAGCTAACGAAAGGGGCCTCATACTCACACTTTCATGTATGCATTCTCCTCCTTTTGTGTCCACATTCCCTTGTAATTGTCCTTAGGAGGGAAAGTCCCAATTCCTTTGCATGGTTCAGTCTACAGGCAAAATATCTTCAGTGAGAAAAGGGACCCATGAAGCAATAGGCTTTCACTGTTTTGACGGAGATACCAATCAAATGTGGCATTTTCTAGCCTGGATTTGTTTTTCCTGTTTGGTCCCCAAAAAAATTCTGAATTTGGCCTTTAAGACAAACATACTCATTAATGGGCACTGGAATTGAATTAAATTCCTTTTATTCTGCTTTATCACCAGCCTGTTTCACAGCCAAAACCGTTTCCCTTTTGACTTTTCATGTTTCTTTCAAGCTCATAAAATGACTTTTGGAGGGAAAAAAATCACACTCTCTCTCTCTCGTTTTCCTTGCCCAGATGGCTCAAACTTTACCTTAATACAATAACCCTAATGAATAATAGTCACATCTTACATTAAGTTTGAACTAAAAATAAACAGTGATGATTTCGATGTGATTTGCCCCAGAAAGAACATAGTTTTAAGTTATAAACAAACATAGCAAATAAGACAAACACCAGACAACAACAATTTGCAGGGTCTTTAGATTTGGTCATGTTGGCTATCTAACGTTGGTCAAGCTTAGCGACAACGAAGCCTGCCATCAAAGGTTTCTTTCATATCTGGTAAAATTCTAATGAAATCTAAACTCATTTTCTATTTTTAGTTTAGTATTGTGGGGTACGGTTTGAAAGTCAAGTTAACGTATTTAATGAAAGAGTTAATGTTTAGTTAAGACTTAATACTTGCTCTAGAACTGGAAGTGTGCGTCTTCTTCTGCCTCTTTGGCTTTATCCAAAGATGATGCCTTTATTTTAGTGGCCCTTCTTATCTGTGTAGATTGAGTTTCAGATTCTTTGTACCAGGTTCAAATTTTAGTTTTTTGAGTAGGTGTAGTTTTAGTTGTTTTTGTGGCTATATAAGGGTTCGTTCATTCTTTGAAAGTTGCATACAGGGTTTGGTTTGGTTTCTTGGAGTGTTTGAGCTTCGGTAGGGTGAGATCAGGTACCGCTTGGGTCTCTCCTCTTGGTTTTCTTTCTGGGTTCTTTGTTATGTGATGCTTTTCTTCACAGTTTTGGCATCTGGGTGCTTTGCTGTTAGGGTTTTGGCATCTGGGTTTTTTCAAGATTTAAGGGTTTCAGGGTTTTGGTTTGATGTTTGTGAAGTTCTTTGGATTCTTGAAGTTGAAATTTGTCTCCAAGTTTATTTATTTATTTTGTCCTGAAAGAGTCAATGTAGGCATGGCTTGTAATGCCTCTCTCGCAGTTTGTTGGTATTTTTGTAGTACTAGATTCTCACTCTAGAATGCGTTTGGTTGCTTGAAATTTGCTGAATTGAGAATTCTCACATACTTAAGGCAGTGTCTTTGCTTCTTGTTTTCTACCATCATGTGCTTGGATTTGATTGTTGAAATTATTGTCCTTTTATTTGTCTATGCGGAAAAAATCAAGGTTTGTTGGGTGACATATAGCTGGATTTAGATGAAATCTAAACAAATTCCCATGTAAACTGGGTAGGTTTGTGTTTAACTTGAATTAAAATATACTTTAATTGAAGTCTTAGGCATCTGTTGAAGCCATGAAGGTCATCGAATAAGCCTTAATGTAAAGCAGTCACCTTAGCAGTCATCTAGACTTTAATTTCTACAAGTTTCATTTTTTGTATTACCAGCTCCAGCTAGACTGTGCTTTCTGGTCATTGGTTTTTCTCATCGCATTCTTCTTGTGTTTGAAGTTTCAAAGGTAAGAGCTAAAGCCTAGAGTAGAATCTGGGTTGAAGTTTCTTGGACCGGATGGTGCTTGGAATTCTTCTTTTGCTCATTGTTAGCATTTTCAGCTATGTATCAGGTAACTTGGTATACTTATTCTGGTTCTTTTGCTACTGTCTTTATACATATCAAAATCAAAGTGAGGATTAGATAAGCTAATTAGATAAGTAGCTCAATCTGCTTTGGAAATGTTGAGTCCTTAGCACAAGCCCCTGGACAATCCGTTTAGGAATTAAACTATGAAATTCATTATGGGAAATTTATCTTCTTCGTAGACTTTATCATAATATGTGTTGGTTCACTTGCTAGCCCTTAGGGCTTACGGTTTATGTATTATATGACCCAAAAAAAAAAAAAAAGGAAGAAGAAGAAGAAGTGCAAAAGGGCACTTGGAACATTTCAAGTATCTTTTCCTGAAGGATTTATTATGTTTCTTCATCTAGTACTTTACTAATGCTTGTGAGGATCTGAAAATTTTCATTTTCAAAAGGAAAATTTAGATGAGACAATTCAATGTTTCTAGAATAGGATCTCCCATCCTACCATTTGTTGCTGAAATCACATTCTTGAATTTGTAGGCGCATTTGTAGGAATAAATATTGGGACCGATGTTGTGAACATGCCATCGGCTCCAGATGTGGTTGCAATCCTTAAAGCCAATAAGATTTCTCATGTGCGCCTCTATGATGCTGATGCCCACATGTTGAAAGCCCTTGCAGACAGTGGGATTGAAGTAATGGTTGGTGTTACAAATGAGGAAGTCTTAGGGATTGGGGAATCTCCTTCAAAAGCAGCAGCATGGATTAATCAAAATGTTGCAGCTTACTTGCCTTCAACCAACATTACAGCCATTGCAGTTGGCAGTGAGGTTCTTACCTCAATCCCTAATGTTGTCCCTGTTTTGGTTCCTGCCATGAACTACCTCCACAAAGCCCTTGTTGCTTCAAATCTAAATTATCAGGTCAAAGTTTCAACCCCTCAAGCCATGGATGTTATCCCCAAGCCTTTCCCCCTCAACTGCCACTTTTAATTCCTCATGGAACTCTAAAATTTATCAGATTCTTCAGTTCTTGAAAAACACAAACTCCTACTACATGTTAAATGCTTATCCATATTTTGGATACACATCTGGAAATGGCATTTTCCCTCTTGATTACGCTCTTTTCCGATCACTTCCCTCAGTCAAACAGATTGTTGACCCCAACACTCTTTCTCACTATGATAGCATGTTTGATGCTATGGTGGATGCTGCCTATTATTCTATAGAAGCTCTGAATATGTCTGGGATCCCAATTGTAGTTACAGAAACTGGCTGGCCTTGGCTTGGTGGAGCCAATGAACCTGATGCCACTGCAGATAATGCTGAGACTTTCAATAATAATTTGATCCGGCGAGTTCTAAATGATTCAGGACCACCTAGTCAGCCAAACTTCCCCATCAACACGTACATTTATGAGTTGTTCAATGAAGACAAGAGGCCTGGGCCTGTGTCAGAGAAGAACTGGGGCTTGTTTTTTACCAATGGCAGTGCAGTTTATAGTTTTAGTTTGAGTACTTCCAATGGAATTACTGGAAACAATTCTGATTTCTGCGTTGCCAAACCAAATGCGGATCCTGGTAAGTTGCAAAAAGGGCTGAACTGGGCATGTGGGGAAGGAGGGGCTAACTGCAGTGCTATTCAAGAAGGGCGACCATGCTATCTTCCTAATACTTACCAGAACCATGCATCTTATGCTTACAACGACTATTATCAAAAAAGCGTTCTGCCGGTGCAACATGTGACTTTGACGGTACTGCTACAACCACTACGGCTGATCCTAGTAAGTTCATCTAGACTTTTCTCGTTATTTCCTTAACATATTTGGTGTGCTTGTGTGCATTTTTGTCGATGACTCTAAACTGATGGTTCCAAGGAAAATGCTCGGATAGAACTTGCTTTTTATTCTTATTTTTCTGGTCCACTAGTTCCATGCCGAGAACTGCTGGGTTTTCCTCAACAGGGAATTGCATCTGGCCCATACTATTTAAATGTTTGGCATATGTTATATCACTGGTTCTAGAGCAATTGTATCTCAAATCTTGGAAGATAGAAGCATAGTGGGATTTTACCGTGTGCTTGTTTGATGAGAGATGGGGTTTGAAAGTTCATGCATTAAATGTTATTTTTACATGACGTCCATGGCCATGCCTTATATTCACTCTGCACATTTTCCGAGGATCATGTTAATTGAAACACCATAAATAACAGGAAATGAATTCATTCAGCAAGCAAGTCCCAGCTAACAGTCTCTGAAATGCCAATACTTAGTGGTGAATAGAGGTCCCTCCAAATGCGCTTTGAACATTATTTTCACTTTGCATATTGAGGGCTGTCTGATTTTCCTAACAATGGGGAAGAAAGTGATGGAAGACATTGATACTGCAAATCTAGATTTTTTGTTGCCTTCGTTCCTTATTTCTTTATGGTTTGTTCTTGCAGGTTATGGATCCTGTAAATTTACTGGGAGGTGAGAATCTGAATCTGCTTGTAGTTGATCCATTCTGCACCAATTTTTTTTTTTTTAAATCATAATTCACTTACTTTAGGCATTGTCTAAACTTGTGAATATCTTGAAACAGTTCAACTGTCACTCTGACCTCGAATGGAGGATTTACATCGCCTGTGGCACCTGGACCTGTGAGTCCTCAAGGAGGGAGTGGAACTATGAACATGCATGTTTCGAAAATTCAATTTCTAACATCAGCAGTGGTTCTTGCTCTAGTCTTGCTTTGACCCCTGGGTCCTTTCAGTTTTGCATCTTGTTAGGCGATTTAACAAGTGCTGAAGATCATCAACTTATTGAAAATGATTAAAATACATGATGTACACCGGTCGAATAACATATAGGAAGGTTCATGTGTTAATCATTTAGTTGCATCAATTTTGTTTCTGATGAACCACCTTTATCCATTATCATTATTTTTGTTTCCTTCCCCTTCCCCTCCCTTCCCCCGGCCCCCACCTCTGCCCTTTGTGTTACCGGATGTGCTCTAGGGTTCACTAGAATGAGTAACATTCGAGCAACTAGGGCTTCATATCTTTTGGGACAATGAGATTAGTTAGAGGGAGATGTTCCCTTCTGACCCTGCATACTGACATCATTCCTGAAACAAATGGCTAAGGTTCTGCTTGTTTGGGAAAAAATAAGTTCTAGGAATTTGTTTTCTTTATTTTTCTTCATTTTTCGATATTTGTTTCGTGTTTAGAAAAAAAGTTAACGGAAAATGATTTTCAGTTAATGGAAAATAATAGATTGTTTTTAAGAAAGTGTTTTTCAAGTTAAAAAAGAGGGAAACATTTTTTTTTCTTACGAGTTATCTCATTCTTGCGCTACTCATTTCTTTTTCGATACATTTTAATAATTTTTTTTATCTCAATTTTATTTAAAATATTTCAAATTATTTTTTTATTTCTATTAACATTTTATTTTTTGATTTATAAATATATTAAATATTCTTAAAAATCATTTTTATATCTTAAAATTATTTTTATAATTTATCTCTATTGTTTTTATCATTATCCCAAACACCATTTAAATTATTGGAAATGATTCCTACAAAACTACAATCATTTATGAAAAATTTAAAACTAATTAATTCATGAATAAATATATTATTTTTTCAATATTATTTATTTGCAACTAAATCAATAATTTGTGATTAATTTTAATCAGCTTGTAAAAATTTATTGGTAATTATAATCAATAAGTAGTTATAAATTATTTCAACATTAATCTTTTGAAATCAAATGAATAATTATTTACAAATGATACTAATAATTTGTAAAACTATTGTTTAGATTAAATTATCAGCTCAATTTTTTCAATTAAAAAAAAACTTTTAATTGAGTTATCAAAATAACAATACTAGGATTATTTAAAATTTTTTTTACTAAATTAGAATATTGACTTGGTTTTGTTCCAAATAGTTTTGATAAATTGATTTGATCGTTAAAAATATATGTTTTATTTTTTGATTTTTTGAATTTAAATCTCGTAGTCGGTATCTATAAAATTTATTAAACTTTTTTTTAAATACATATTATTTTGTAAAATTATGAATATGCCTTGTTGAAATTTTCTCAAAACTCGTTGATGTAATAATCATAGCTTGTTTTTGTATTTTAGCTCTTTTTATTAAACAAATGTTGGAATATATTTTTTAGTAGTTTTTTTTATGTCATCATCAAACGTCAAAATATATATATATTTTTAAATAGTTTCTCTAAAATTGTTTTTCTTATTAAATATTATTTTTTGTCGAACAAACGGAGCCTAAAAGTCATTTGAGAATGCAATGCATTCCTTTTCTCTCTATGCCAAGATTCACATGCTTGCTTGCCAAGTTGCTGGAAATTCAATGGTGAAGTCATACTGAATGGGTTTGCTTCCCATGTTATCATTTTGAACTTAAATTTAAGGAAAAGTTTGGGAGAAAGAACTCTCTCTTTCTTGCCATTGAAGCAAATGTGGATGGTTTTGTTTGAGATTGAGAAGCTCCTCATAAAATACATTAATCCATCAAACATTAGAAAACAAAAAAGCAGAATGCTTGACCCTACACCTTAAGAACCAAACCAGCAGACTCTCTCTCTCTGGGGCTGGTTGTGCTGGCTGGAGAGCTGATATGAACCACTGGACCCATTTGCAAGTGCTCTAGTCTGAACAACAGGTAGGATCATCCAGCATGAAAAGCAAGAATATTCAAAGTCCAATTTGGCTGGTTTTAGGCTAGCTTTATGGGTCATAATCTTATTATAAGGTTGGCTTTCCAAGAAATGTTTTTTTCTTGTCCATTGAATTTACTAGCTTCAAATTTGGCAGCTGCAACTTTCCAGGTGAACTTGATAAGCTGACAAAGGAGCATTCCAAATTGTACATTTTATTTTGCATTATTCGAAATAAACTTATTTTTAATTGTTTTAGGGTTAACACTTCAATCAATATGTCGCTATTAAATTATTCATTCTGTCTTTGTAAATTTAATTAAGTTAATTTTATTTTTGAATATAAATAAAGTTATCAATCTATTATTTTGTCAAGATTTTTAAATTAAATTATCAGAATTGTTTATGTAATTTACATATGATTATTTTTTATTATCAAAACATCTTTATTGGTCACTTAAATAAAAAAATTATTTGTAAATCACGTGATTAATTCTGATATTTTAGTATGAAAATCTTAACAAAGTGACAAATTAAATACTTAATTTAAATTTAAAAATAAAATTAATTTAATTAAAAATATGTCAGAGAATTACTCTACTACCTAGAAACAGATTGAGTCATTCATCTGTGGATTTTTTTATTAAATCCGAAATTAATGGTAACGTGAGGAATGCTTGGCCTAACATCAACGTGAAACTTGGGGAATCTAAAAAGATATGGTATGTCCGGTCATGTCATAGACTCCAAATTCTGTCTGCAATTAGTACAGTATCTATTCGATGGGACAAATCAGACAACAAGACAATTCTATGTTTGGTACAAAATAGAAAATAAAATAAAATGTAAAATCTTTGTGAATTGATGGTCGAAGCAATTCAAGTAAAATATTATACCAGTAAAAAATCAGTAGAATCACTCTCACAAATTTGAAACTCTGGCAGACTAACACCAAAAAAACACTAAGGAAATTAAAAATCATCACCATATTATAAAAATCTTGTAAGATATTTCTAAACTTGAATCCAGTACTATTTAAAAAAAAATTATTCCTTAAACAATATAATTTTTTTTGAATTTATTCTTTTCGTTAGTTTTCTATTGAGAAGTTAACATAAAAATCCATAAAAACCTTTCTAATTTCTATTGTTTTCAATGCCGATTTAGAATATATATATATAAGTTTTATATATATCGAGAAATCATATAATTCGAATTTTTTTATTGAGATTTTAAATTTTTTTTTATCAAATTTAAAAATTCTATTCTTATGTTATTATTGTTTTATGCCTTAGTCAATGACAACTTGACATATCATCAATTCAATCATCCAATTTAGACTCGTCATCGGCTAAAGCTTGCTATGTGTGCTTATATAGCACATTATGTTACGAAACAATAATAACATAATAGTAGAATTTTTAAATTAGATAAAAAACTTAAAGTCTCAATAAAAAAATTTGAATTATAGGATATCTCGATATGTATAAAATTCATATATATATATATATATATATATATATAGAGGATTTTTTTAAGGATTTTCCATCAATTTCTCAATAAAATCCTAAAAACTAGATAAATTAAAAAAAAAAATCATATTGGGAATGATTTTTTTTTAGTTTTTTTTTTCCACGGGTTGAGCAGGGTGTATTCCAAGTTAGCCTTAAAATTTCTAAAGTAGGCAATAATTAGAGGCTGCTACGACAAGTGTGATTGACCCCCAGTTAGAGTGACCTTGATTTGGTCTCCATTTAAGTAAATTTTTTTGTCTATTTAATTTTGAAGTCAACCTTGACGGGAGGATTTTTGGTTGACAATATGTTGTTAATAAATAGATTTTGACAAAATATGTGGAAGACTGGTGAAGTGAGTTTCTCGTTACACGAGTTTGTTGGAATAATTTATCATTATAGTCCTTCTAGTTTGTTGAGACTGTTCTTACTCTTCTTATTCTTTTGGTATTACGACATAATTTTGTTTCAGTACTACTGCAAACAGTATTTATCGTTGATGAATATGTCCTCATCACTATGTTATTATTATTTTTTATGCTAAATCCTATTTTCAAGAAAGATAATTTTTTACGGAGTCTAAAGTAAAAAGTTAGAAAAACAATATAAAAAAATAAAATATTTCTCATTTCAATTCGTGTAAAAAATCAACAATAAACTTAAATGTAAAACAATTTATAATTTTAATCATTTTTTATTAAATTGAGTTTATTTTAGACTATACTTATCTAAGTCAAACATGGTTATTAAAAAAATTAAACATTTGTGCTGTTGTTTATTCATTCCAATGAGTTTTTTCAAAAAATCGTATCATTAAAAAAAAAACTCTAATAATACCCATACATGTAATATATTTTACATTTCAATACATATTCAAATTAAATATTAATTGTTATCAAATTTTAAAATAAATATTATAAATTATATAACAAGATTTAATAATTTTATGGAAAAATGACCTAATTAAATAAAATATAATGTTTTTAAAAAATAAAAGGACTATTTAATTCATTTTGTGATAATAGAGGGACTAATTTTCCACCAAAATTTCAATGGTGATGCTATAAACGTTCTGCATTTTCACATGGCCTAGGGACCAGCTGACACTCCTTTCCTATCCCATTCTGCTCTTGAAGTTTCTGTCAAGCCAGAGACAGAGAAATGGAAAGGAAAGGCATAGATGAAGTGGAAGTGAATGATATAATCAAGGCAGGTTTATGCATTGAAGAGGCCAAAGAATTTCACGAAATCCTCAAAGAAACAATTGGTGCTGTTAAAGGGTCAGACCTTAGAGAGTTGTGGCAAAAGCTGGTGGCTAAAAGAGTGCTAAAGCCATGGCATCCACATGGTTTGCACCAACTGGTTTACTACTCTGTCTATGCTCACTGGGATTCCACCACCAATGGACCTCCTCTTTACTGGTTCCCTTCTCTGTAAGTTTTGGCCTTCTTGTAAAACCAGCTGTGGTATGCTTCTGTCATGATTTTCATCAACGAGAAAGTTTTTGTTTTCTCTGTGTCAGGGATCAGTCAAAACATACAAACCTGGGAAGGATCATGGAAGTTCATGGTCCGAGGCTTTTAGGGACTTCGTACAAGGACCCTATTTCAAGTTTTAGCCTCTTTCAGAAATTCACGGTTCAACATCCTGAGGTAAGTAAGGACTAAGGACTACTTCAAGAATCACAGAAAGTGATGGGTTATGTTTTTTGGTGAGTTTAATATTTGCTGATGAAATTCCAGGCTTATTGGTCAATTCTTCTGAAAGAGCTTCCGGTTGAATTTCGTGAACCGCCAAGGTGCATTCTGGACACCACTGACAAATCAAAACCTGGAGGAACTTGGCTTCCAGGTTCAGTTTTGAATATTGCCGAATGCTGTTTACAGCCCTGTCGACATCCTAGGAAAAATGATGATGGTTTGGCTGTCATATGGAGAGATGAAGGCTGTGATTCCCAACTTAATTGTATGACATTGCAAGAACTTCGCGAACGAGTAATGTATGATCCCATCTTCTTACTCTATTGTACAATGATGTGCGGTTTAGGGTTAGAACTAGCAGTATTTTCTGTCAAATGAGGAAGTTAAGTAGCAAAGCATGCTTTTACGTGAAATTTGTTCTGCATTTCTCTTTTTTGTTCTTGAGCCTTTCAATATTTACTTCCTTTGTCCTTTCTGCTTTTTCTAAAATGTTGAAAACATGTCTTGCAGGTTGGTTGCTAATGCAGTGGATGCCGCATTTTCGAAGGGTGATGCAATTGCAGTTGACATGCCGATGACTGTCAATGCGATAATAATATATTTTGCGATTATTCTAGCAGGATGTGTTGTTGTATCCATTGCTGACAGCTTTGCAGCAACGGAAATCGCCACTCGTTTGCGTGTGTCTAATGCAAAGGGTATCTTTACTCAGGTCAAATTTCACTTTTATGTCTCACTTGATTTGGAATTTGCCAAAGAATATGAAATTGATCTTGATGATAGTTATGGCATGTTTCGATATGTATTCGAAATTGATTCCTGCCTTCAATTTGTATGCAGGATTTTATACTGAGAGGGGGACGAAAATTCCCCTTATACAGGTGAATCTAATCTTTCAAAAATGAACTTATTCTTTCTGGAATGTGATCATCAAATGCATTGCAGTACTGAATTCCGATAGACTTGAGACGGCACGAAAGGAAACGTCATGGATTTATTCTTTCTTTTGCAGTCGAGTCGTAGAAGCTGCTGCGCATAAAGCTATTGTGCTCCCTGTGAGTGGGAAAGATGTAGGCATTAAATTAAGAGAACAAGATCAATCTTGGGGAGATTTCCTTGCCAGTGTCAAACACCTTCAAAGGTAATGTGCATAACTACTGTTTAAGAGTGGTCTATTAAGGCAATCATTATCATTTCTCAGTGAACCATCTGGAATAATTTTGACTAAAACTCTCTTGTATTTCAATGATCTATGACAGACCAAATCATTTCTCTCCGGTTTATAATCCGATAGACTTTCCGACTAACATACTCTTTTCATCTGGAACCACAGGTAGCAAAATTGTTCACCAAATATTTAGTGTTTGCTACACTTTGGCTATCTGTTGTCTCGTAAGTTCTTACTGTCATTGGTCTGAATCAGGAGAACCAAAAGCTATATCATGGACACAGCTTTCGCCAATTCGAGCAGCTAACGATGGATGGGCTTACGTTGACCTTCAAGTTGGAGATGTTTTCTGCTATCCTACAAATTTAGGATGGGTAGCAGGACCAATTGTGCTTTATGAAGCCTTTCTAAGTGGTGCAACTTTTGCTCTATATCATGGATCTCCTCTTGGCCGTGGTTTCGGAAAATTTGTTCAGGTACCGTGTCTGATACTTATTCTTCTTTTCCGTAAATGCCATGTCTCTAGTGACTCGGTGCTTACCCTCAGCTTTAAGCATTTATAACTAAGTGGTTGAATTTCAAGAAAAAACGGAACATTTTCATTAAAAATTAATGGATAAACAAAGAAAGAAAAAGGAAATGGAGCAAAAAGCAAAGCAGACCACAGAAGGCAGCAGCTGCAAGGGAAAACAACCAAGGCAGGCTGAGGCTTCAGTAGGATGAGGCGATGAGCTACCACCTTAACTTTTTGTATTGCATTTGTTCAGGATGCTGGAGTGACTATTTTGGGCACAATTCCAACTATTGTAAAAGCTTGGAAGAGTACAAATTGCATGGAAGGCTTAGATTGGACAAAGATAAGGTGATGATCTTTTCTATGAACTTCAGTTGTATCACTGCTTCCACATAATTCCCAAGGACTTAAAAGCAAAGGTATCTGCAGATCCTTTGTTACTGCTGGAGAAGCCTCCGATGTTGACGATGGCCTTTGGCTTTCTTCAAGAGCTTATTACAAGCCCATTATTGAAGTTTGTGGAGGCACAGAGCTTGCATCAAGCTACCTCCAAGGAACTCCACTGCAGCCACAAGCCTTTGGAGCATTAAGCACTGCCTCTATGGCTACCGGCGTTGTCATCCTTGATGACAACGGAGTTCCTTACGTAAGAACATTTTCTGGCATGTGAACAATTTCAAAGATTGCCATGATAAAAACAATGGAACCTATCCATTGAACGTGCAGATATTTTACCTATTTAGTCTTGTCTCTATAACAGCCAGATGAACAACCTTGTGTTGGTGAGGTGGGCTTATTTCCTTTAATCATGGGAGCATCAGATAAATTGCTTAATGCCGATCATGACAGAATTTACTTCAAGGGAATGCCAATGTATAAAGGAATGGTATGCTAATTCTTGCTTTCTTTTACATTTCCATCTTTAAGGAATTACATCCCTGTCAAGAAGTTAACAGAATTGTGTCTGTGTATCCATTTTGCAGCAACTCAGGAGACATGGAGATATCATCAAGAGAACCGCTGGAGGCTATTTCATTGTACAAGGCAGAGCTGATGACACTATGAATCTTGGTGGCATTAAGGTATTACATTCTCTGGAACCAGTCCAGTCCTCTTTCAACTTTGTTAGGCTTATTTTTCAAGCGTTAAACTTCAGACATTTTCCTGATATGCAGACAAGTTCCGTCGAAATCGAGCGTGCGTGTAACGATGTTGATCAAAGCGTAGCGATAACTGTTGCAATTAGTGTAACACCAGTATATGGAGGTCCAGAAGTCCTTGTAATGTTTGTTGTACTGAAGGAAGGATATAATTCAAAACCAGAAGAATTGAAGAAGAAATTTACCAGAGCCATACAGACCAACCTCAATCCTTTGTTTAAGGTTTGTCTCCTCACCTTCTTTTGTCCATATACTTTTTTAAGGTATTGCTGTGGTGATAACAGGTGCATTTTTGAATGGTTTTGACAGGTATTCCTTGTCAGGATTGTTCCTGATATTCCTAGAACTACTTCTAACAAGTTATTAAGGAGGGTTTTAAGGGATCAAATGAAGGAGGAGTTGTCTGTTCGAAGTAAGATATAATAGGAAAACGTCATTAGAAATAAGTATTCTTCTGAGATCAGAAGGATAAGAGATGAATATAAAGGATTGATGATGGTCCCAAATGTTACATTTGTCAAGTAATAATTCTATGTTTTCTTGAATCATAGTTTTAAATCATTGATAATGTAAAAAAAAAACATTCGAGATCACAGATTGCAGTTTATTGCTGCAACAAAATAACATACACAACAATTGATGTCTTGAATATATTAACAATGATTAATAAATTTATTGTGTAATTTACATATTTTTAATAGTTTTATTAATTAAGCATATTAATAATATCTCATGAGTAGATTGCAAAATGCAAAAACTGAAATTCTAATTTTAGTTTTTTAGTACAATGCTAAATAATAGTGTTACATAATGGTAACACTATTATTTACGTGAAACAACAATAAAACTTTTATAACATCGAATAACAATAATATGGTATTCTGAAACCATTATATAATGACTATTACGTTATTAAATCTAACTTCTTAATGCCATGGATGGTAACAATGGTTGAACTTTGGTTGAGTGGTGGGCAATACAACACCAAACCGCTAAGGCAATTTAGATGAGTAATTACTATCCAATCAATCTTAATTAGGTTAAATTAGTTTTTTTGCTCGTGCTACGTCACGAGTTGGATAAAATATATTAAATTGTTTAGATAAATTATTTCAGTTTGATAGTCTGTTTTATGGTGTGAATCTATAAAAATATATAAAATCAAAGGTGAAAAACATTATTTATAATTTTTTAATCAAAAACTTTATATTTAACTATTTCTTATTTGTGTTTTTCATAATTTTTCCTTTAGAAAAAGGATTTATCCTTGTTAATCCATGATTATTAACTGAAAAGAAAATTAAATAATTTTTTTAAAAAAGCTTTAGCATTTCATAAGATTGTGTCGAAAAATATAAATAACAATTATTAAAAGCTTACATAGAATTAAATAAATAATTTCTTTTTATTTAATATTGATGAGAATATTGGTTTTTGAAAAAATATGAATTTAATTTTTATATATTTATTTACAAAAGAATGAATAATATTAAAATAAAAAACTATATTAATTTGACTTTCAACTATTAATTAATTAATTTGATTTTTTTTCTAAAAAAACGAGAAAAAACTATTTGAAATACACTTTTAATCTAAAAATATATTTTAGAAAAATTATATATATATATCATGCCACTATAATTTAAAATTTATCTAAATCTATTTTTAAAAAAACAAATAATCATGTTGTAAAAAATTATTCCAAATCCGATACATATAACAAAATAAATCAAAAATTTCAGTATATATAATTTTAAATTAATTGGATGAGAATTTTTAAAATATGAAAAATTAAGGTAGTAAATTTTAAATAATTAAAAAAAACACTAAAACAAAATTGGACTAAATCACAACATAATCAAAGTTTGAAATTGAAAAAGGAAGAGAATTTTAAAAAAAATGACAAATTAATATAGTAAATTTTAAACAACATAAAAAAAATCGAGAAAAAATTATTTGAAAAAAACTTTTAATCTAAAAATGTATTTAAGACAAATTATATATATATATATATCATGCCACTATAATTTAAAAATTATCTAAATCTATTTTTCAAAAAAAAAATTATAATCATGTTGTGAAAATTTATTCCAAAATCCATACATATAGAAAAATAAATCAAAACTCGTCAATAAATATAATTTTAAATTAATTAGATGACAATTTAAAAAAAATGATAAATTAAATTAGTAAATTTTAGATAGTAAAAATAATAAAACAAAATGAGACCAAATCACAATATAATCAAAGTTTAAAATTCAAAAAAGAGAGAGAGAGAGAGAGAGAGAATTTAAAAAACATGACAAATTAATGTAGTAAATTTAAAATAAAAAAATAAAAAAACATTATTTGAAATACACTTTTAATCTAAACGTGTATTTCAGAAAAATTATATATATTAATCATGCCATTATAATTTAAAAATTATCTAAATCTATTTTTCAAAAGAAAAAAATAATCATATTCTAAAAATTTATTCCAAAATCCTTACATACAGAAAAATAAATCAAAACTCGTTAGTAAATATAATTTTAAATTAATTGGATAAGAATTTTTTTAAAAAAAGACAAATTAAAATAGTAAATTTTAAATAATAAAAATAATCAACAAAAAAACACTAAAACAAAATGGGACCAAATCACAATATAATTAAAGTTTGAAATTGACAAAAGATATAGGATTTTAAAAAATAACAAATTAAAATATTAAATTTTAAATAATAAAAATAATTAACAAAAAATACTAAAACAAAATGGGATCAAATCACAATGCAATTAAAGTTTAAAACCGAAAAAAAAAAAAGTATTGAGGACCAAAGTATTACAAAAGTGACATAAATAGTGAAAAGAATAGTGATTTGTGAGTGTGTGAATAATGTTTTAAATAGTAAAACATGGTTTTACTTTAGTTTTTTTTAGTAATAATAGTTCAAATCTTTTTAAAATTTTAAATCTTTTGATATTTGATTTTTTTTTAATTGGATCTTCCTTCAACTCTCTTCATTTAAAATTGAATTTTTATATTAGATTTTTTATCAGTTTAAAAAATAGAAATACATGTATTTTATACATGATTTACTTTTTAATTTTTTTAGCGGCTAAAAATACATGCTTTATCTTTTTTTACAAAAAAATAAAATAAAACATATATAAGTTTTGACATATTTTTAACTGTAAAAAAATTAAAAATGCATATTAAAATTGATAAAAATATATAATTTTAAATAAAAAATAATTGAAAAAATATCCAAAAGACCAATTCTCCAAATAATTTAAAGCTGGAGATGATTTGGATGGTTTGGTTTTTTATTAGTGAAAAGAAAAATAAAGCCATAATTTGTCAATGGATAGCCAACCTTGAATTTCTCCTCGATTAGTTTCAAGTGACTGACTCCTAGAACTCAGGTGGGATTCAGACCGATCTCTATAAAAAAAATGTACTTGCATGTTCTGACAGGACTAAAATTCCAAATTATTAGGACCTTCCCACCAAAATTATTGAAGGAGGTAGCTGTAAGTAAGAAAATGAAGTAGCCATTTTTAGGAAGTAGTAACTGCAAAGTTCCCCTCGTGGCCAACTGCCAATCTTATGTTTCACCTACTTCACTTCACGCTGTTTTAAATAGTGACACGAACAATGATCAAACAAGCACACATGAAACATAGAGACCAAACTGTGTCGTGTGTAAGAGAGACTCAGGTTCCTAATGGAGGAGAAAAAGAGCATAACTGAAGTGGGAGTTGACGATATAATCAAGGCAGGTTTGTCTGTAGAAGAGGAGGCTAAAGAATTCCACAAAATCCTCAAAGAAACAATTGGTGAAGCAAAAGGGTTAGACCCAAGAGAGGTTTGGAAGGAAGTGGTGGATAAGAGAGTGCTAAAGCCATGGCATCCTCATGGGCTACATCAACTTGTCTATTACTCTGTCTATGCTCATTGGGATTCCTCAACCAACGGTCCTCCTCTTTATTGGTTTCCTAATCTGTAATGTTTCTCTCTTTCTCTGGTTCTTTCGAGGTTTCTTGATTGTTTTCAATCATTTCTTTCTTCGTTTTGACTGTTTGGATTTCTTGATCAATGATTGGTGATGGAAGATATCATTTTCATGGACTACAAGTCGTTTATCATGCTAGTGTGGGCAAATTACGTTTGTGATCCTCCAAGTTTCAGAATTTGGTCATATTAACCCCCCATATCACAATCTAGGTTCCTAGAGCATGCGTTCTTATACTTTCAATCATGGTCCGTACAATTTATGTCCATTAGATGGCTGATATCTTTACCATGTGTACATTTACGAGTGGATGGTGGGGCAAATAAGGCTAGGAATTGGAAGTCTGAGGATTGAGATACCCAATAATATGGTAGAGGGTTAATGTGAGCAACCTCCTAAACTTTGGTTTGGGGCCGCGCGGGGCGGGGCGGGGGTGGGGGTGGGTTAGGTTTGTGGGGAGGGGTGATGACCATGCAAGTAATTTACACCTAGTACTATGGTCTGTTCAATTCATGCCAATGCCAATTATTTCTGGTGCTAAATTTTTGTTTACTGTATATGTAGCAGTACAATTTGATATACATCTTGGCTTTCATAAATTGCGTATGAATGTAGATTCCAGTCAATGCCTCAAATTTGTTATATGTTTTAAAGGGTCAAGGAAGTGCTCAATGAATGTGTGGAATTGTGTGGTTTTCAATATTTTCCCTTCCTAACTAATCTTGTTATTGAAACAGATATGAGTCTAGACGGACGAACTTGGGACGTGCGATGGAGATTCATGGTCTGAAGCTTTTAGGAACTAACTACAAGGATCCTATAACAAGTTTCAGCCTCTTTCAGAAATTCTCTGTTGAACATCCTGAGGTAACCAAGGACTTATGTCAATCGAACATAACATTTTAGGTACAGTTAGTTATGGTTAGCAGAATCTGGTATTTGCAAGGTTCATTTCCTGATTGAACTTAGTGTTTGCAAATGATTTCCAGGCTTATTGGTCAATTGTTCTGAAGGAGCTTTCAGTTGTATTTCGTGAACCGCCAAAGTGCATTCTAGACACAACTGACAAATCAAAACCTGGAGGAACATGGCTTCCTGGTTCAGTTCTGAATATTGCTGAATGCTGCTTGCAACCTGCAAGTCGTCCTATTAAAAAGGATGATGGTGTGGCTATTGTCTGGAGGGACGAAAGCGATGAATCTGTTTTGCACCATTTGACAGTGAAAGAATTTCGAGAGCAAGTAATGTAATGCTTCATGTGCCTATACCATTCACGTTTTTTTTTTTTCAGTCACACTATGACTAGCTGCACCATGTTCAGGTTTTAGAATATGGTAATTACCTGCTATAAATGATTTATTTTGCATGATTATGTAATTGTTACCCCACGGTGGTTTTAAAAGTAGTTAAATAGCATACAGAGACGTAAATTATTATAGTGTATCATGAGAAAAGAATGCTCCTTGACCAGTTTTGTAGACGAAACACGTGGTGCAGGTTGGTGGCCAATGCACTGGATGCAACATTTACCAAGGGTGATGCAATTGCGATTGATATGCCAATGACAGTTGATGCGGTTATCATATACTTGGCCATTGTATTAGCAGGATTTGTTGTTGTGTCAATAGCTGACAGCTTTGCAGCCAAGGAAATTGCTACTCGTTTACATCTCTCCAATGCAAAGGGTATCTTCACTCAGGTATTGTTTCCCTGACATAGGACTTTATGTTTCCATCTCTTTTCTGCTTCGCATTTGTGTTTTGCTGGGCAATTTACTGTGGTAATAGCTGAGGAGGGTAAGGATACCAGCTTGGTGCATAGTTTGTGGTCTCTGTTAAATCCGTTGAGTGATTTGAGATGATCAAAAGATTGAAGAAGTGGTCTGAGCTTTTCTGTTTGCAGATATTTCTTCTCTTTGTTTTCTTTTAGACTCTAACTCCTATCTTCAATTAACTCTTCAGGATTTTATTCTCAGAGGAGGTCGAAAATTTCCTTTGTACAGGTAAAGAGTAACCCACTGTATTTGTTATTTGATGAGGAGAAATCGTCTTTGAAATAATCTTGCCTTACGTGATCCCCTAAAGATGATTCTGTTGCTTGAAATTGCAAAAATTACCCTACCAGATGCTCTTATATAGATTGAGGCTCCAAGTCAGAACTAGCATGCTAAACACACTTCCTCTTTTTGCAGTCGCGTTGTAGAAGCTAATCCTTGTAAGGCTATTGTGATCCCTGTGATTGGAAATGATGTGGGGCTTCAATTAAGAAATCAGGATCGGACATGGAACGACTTTTTGTCCAGTGTCAGTCACCTTCCAAGGTAATGTTTGCGCGTACAACTAGAAGTGTTATATTGTATCTGTAATAGAAGGTTCATCTTTCTTAACTACCATATGAATGTACATCTCCAATAACATGTTTCACACCTCTGTTTAATATTTTAATCCATGGATCCAAATCGTAACAGTATTCATTCTTTGACAGGCCAAATTATTACTCTCCTGTTTATCAACCAGTAGACTCAATGACTAATATACTCTTTTCTTCTGGAACCACAGGTAGAGAAGTGTTTGACATGCTTATGTTCTTACCTGTGCTTCCTCTTCCCTATTATCAACTGATTTTCTAGCTTATCTGCTGGTCTAAATCAGGGGATCCAAAAGCTATTGTATGGACACAGCTTTCGCCAATTCGATGTTCTGCAGATGCCTGGGCTCACATTAACCCTCTAGATGGTGATGTCTTCTGCTGGCCAACAAATTTAGGGTGGGTGATGGGACCAATTTTACTTTATTCTGCCTTTTTATGTGGCGCAACTCTTGCCCTCTTCCATGGATCTCCTCTTGGCCGGGGGTTCGGAAAGTTCATTCAGGTAATACCTCCTGTTTATTTCTTTGATATAATCTAATGTTGTCCCTCAAAATATAGTGTTGTCCTACAAAGCAGGACTTTTGTTTCATGAAGCTGTTAAAATACCAGCTTTAGCTACAAGTCTTAAATACTAGACAGCACTACATGATCCATTTGCAGCAGAAACATTTTCATTTCCTAGCCAACAGCCTTGTCATTCTTTTCAGGACGCGGGAGTTACTGTTTTGGGTACAGTTCCGAGCATAGTAAAAGCTTGGAAGAGTACCAACTGTATGGAGGGCTTAGATTGGACAAATTTAAAGTAATTTTATCCTCTAACATCAAAAAATTTAATTTTTGCACATGGTTTTCAGGAAAAAATGACTTAAAAAATGTGTGTACAGATCCTTTTGTACTACTGGTGAAACCTCAAATGTTGATGATGACCTTTGGCTTTCTTCGAGAGCTTATTACAAGCCCATCATTGAATGTTGTGGAGGCACAGAGCTTGCATCGTCCTACATCCAAGGATCTCCACTGCAGCCACAAGCTTTTGGAGCATTTAGCACTTCATCGATGGCAACTGGCTTTGTCATCCTTGATGAAAATGGAGCTTCTTATGTAAGATCGCTTTAATATTGGTTCCGGGGTTCAATTTTTATTTCTACCATTGCAAACCAACCTCTGTGATCTGTCACTAGATCATATCAAGCTAGTGTGCGATCTTAGTGCCAGGTGGGAGAGTATAAGATTGTCATGATAACAAAATAAATGTGAATGAGTCAAGCTAAAGGACTGACCTGTTCATTTATGTTCTCTACATATGCATCTGATTTCTTTGATCTATTGCAGCCAGATGATGTACCTTGTGCTGGTGAAGTGGGTTTATTCCCTCTATATCTGGGAGCAAGTGAGAGATTGCTCAATGCCAATCATGACAAAGTTTACTTCAAAGGAATGCCAATGTATAAGGGAATGGTATAATTATATTTCCCCTTCTTAAAATATGCTATCATTCTTTGTCAGTTACAATCTAGTTATGATTTCGTAGAGAGTTGTTTGCACATACTTGGTTATAATATCCTACCTAAAGGTCAAATTCGGGCATATATTCATGTACTATTTACTAGGAGATACTTAGTCCTGATATAATTTGATGTTTAGATATTCCATTCCTTCTTACGCCTAGATTATAAGGCAAACTTAGCTGGCTTCTTAGAATTTTCTGGGTTTGTGATTATATAAACTGGTCTCATGGGTGCTCTTTTCTGACTTGGCATATGCTGTTGCAGCAACTCAGGCGACATGGAGACATCATTAAGAGAACAGTTGGAGGCTATTTCATTGTACAAGGCAGGGCAGATGACACCATGAATCTTGGTGGAATTAAGGTACAACGTTCTCTTAAGGACAGGATTGTCTGAGCTTTTGTTCTTCCAAATAAGCTTTTGGCATGACATGCCCTCCCTGACTCTTGAATGACCTTCACCTCCATAACTTCTTTTTATTTTGGCATGCTTGGACTAATTTCTGAATTGTAAAAATTTGACTTGCTCTTTATATACAGACAAGTTCTGTTGAAATTGAGCGCACCTGTGACAGTGCAGAAGAAAGCATCATGGAGACTGCTGCAATCAGTGTAGCACCAGTAGATGGGGGTCCAGAGCTATTGGTAATTTTTGTAGTACTAAAGAAAGGATTTGATGGGGAACCAGACAAGTTGAAGATGAAATTCTCCAAAGCCATCCAAAGGAACCTCAACCCTTTGTTTAAGGTTTGACACTGAATTTTATGTTTCACATGACTTCTGGTTTGGAAACCTTGGCATCTAGGCTATTCCATGGGATTAGAGACAATTTCATTGGTTAAAGGTTTAAACCAGAAGATTGTTCGAGTTCCTAACATAATTGCCTCCATTTTCTTGGCTGTTGGCAGGTGAGCTTTGTTAAGATTGTCCCCGAGTTTCCCCGAACTGCTTCTAACAAGTTACTGAGGAGAGTCTTGAGGGACCAAATGAAGCATGAGCTATCAGTTCGGAGTAAAATTTAGTTGAAGCATCTTTAAAATATTTTGTACACCTGTCTATCAACCACTTGTGTGAATTCATTCACCATGTATTTGAGATCAATGATTTAGATGACTGCCTGAAGACTGTAAGGTGGATCCACAAGTCATTGTTTTGTAATAACGAACAAAAGATACTGGGTGGCCAGTTTGATTGGTGGATAGATGGTGTCAAATGGTCGAGGCATGTATTCTTGTAATTCCTGTGGCGTCGTAGTTTGATGTCAAAAAGGTGTAGACTGTGAGTTGCTTCTTGTTTTGCTTACAGGATTGATGTCTAACAGAAAAATGTTCCCTCCTACTCGATGATTTATCAGATAGTTGGAATAAATATTTTGCTGCAAGTCTGTTTTCTTTTCCTGTTTCTGCAAAATTATTTGATTTTTCTGGGTTTGAATTCTAAAGTTTGAAGCTTCAAGCCCTCCGTTAAAGAGATATTCTTCAGGTTCCTCCAAGGAATGCTGATTTTAAGTCTTTAATTAATAACAACTTGTACAACAAAGGATAAACCATGCAAACTCTGATAATTTTTTTTTTTTAAAGAAGACAAGCAGCAGTAAAGTCAAACTTCTGTGACCTAGATAATCCACAGGTGAAGTGCTGGTCTTTGACCTGTTGTGACCGGCCTCAACCGAGCTATATCTTGCGCTTTATTCGGTTACATTTCTGTTTATGCCATATCGAAACAATTTATAACGCCTGAAAATGGGAAAGAGCATCATATCTTTGCGAAATCGATTGTGTTCTTCCCATCATGTGCCTTTTGGAAGAAATGCTTGACGTAATCCGAATACAGAACTTCCTTGTACACGGCCTTCTCGCCGCTGGCCAGTACTTCAGGAAAAGGAGATATTTTGTCGGACGGCCTGGGATTAATGAAAATGGGAACGGAAATCCTGTTCTTACTTCCATTGGCAATCACACGGTGCTCGATGCTCTTGTATTGACCATTGCTCATTATTTGCAGAGCATCTCCAACATTGATCACAATGGAACCTTCAACCGGAGGAACATGAATCCAGCCATCCTCGTTCCCTCGCACGTAAAGTCCGCCGATGTCATCTTGGAGGAGGAAAGTGAGTGTTGAAACGTCTGAGTGGCGGCCAACTCCTACTGTGAGCTCAGGGTTTGGACAAATGGGATAGTAGTTAAGGTTCGTCCTTTTAGACCCCATTAACATGGATTCCTTTCTCTCATCAATTTCAGTCACATTCAGATTCTTCATCAGCACATCCAATAGCTTTCTGATAACAATTTCTGATCTCTTCATGTATTCTATCACTTGATCCCTGAAAGTAAAAAAAAAAAATCATCCGGCCGACAAATCGATAGTCATTGTAATCAAGTATTGATTTCTTATGCATCTGCAATGTGCAAACTTAAAGGTTTATTACTTGCAAACAGAAGGCCACAATGCAGAAGCCTCATCGTCAGAGACATAAAAGAGGCTAAGGTAATCTTTCCACTCTAAAGCCGTCTCAGCTTCAGGACTAAAGCTTGTGCCAAACCGCACATTATTAGAAGGAGAAAACTCTTTCAGATACTTCCTCTTCTCCTCAGCTGGTAAGCTAAAGAACTGATGAGTTGCTTCCTTAACATTCTCAAGCACCTCAACGGGAACCCCATGGTTGATTATCTGAAAGAAACCCCATTTCTCTGCAGCCTCACAGATTGCTTCTGCAACTTTAGGGTCATCCCATTTTGACATGTCAATGATGGGAATGGATTCTTGGGAAATGATTTTGGTATCACAGATTCTTTCCTCAAGGGGTTGGACATATTGGTTAGGGAGGCTTTTGAGGCCCATTTCAGAGAGACCCTTTACTCCATTGGCTTTGTTGAGGACAAAATCAGTGACATTTGAGGAGCCATTGAATGATACTGCAAGTGTTGGAGCCATTGCTTGGACTTCAAGGTAAGACAACAAAGAGAGAGCTTGACAATTAGAGAGAAAAAGGAAAGTGTTTTAGTACAAGACGGTAGAAAATGTAGTGTGTAACATCAGCTTGCAGGGCTTTGCTATTTATACTCGACTATTTAAGGATGTCTTCATGGCTTCTACCTGTTTTTTCAGTTGATAAATTCCTCACCAACTCACCTCGCAACTCGCATGCCTTCTTCATTTTTCCTTCCCAGAGTTGACCTAATGCCAATCACTAGTTTAGTTTCTCTCACGTATTAATTATTGAGTCCACCTAGTTATTTATCTACGTAGATCATATTTGATAAAATTACTCAAAGATGTTCTATTTGGTATTGTTTTGCTTTTAAAATACAATTGATGTTTTCACTTATTATTTTTTTTTATCTAAACTCAATATTTGATTAAGATTATGTCATCTTGATATTTTTTTTTAAAAAAAAAAACTATTTTATTTTAATAAGTAGAAAAATAAAAAATAAATAAATAATATAAAAAGATTAACGAGAAGAGAAGATGATTTGTAATTTTACAAAACTAGACTAACTAATTTATAAATTAGTCACCAACCTCGAGGCATGCTTGTTTGAGTCTAGGAAACAAGCAAGAAGCACGAGTGCAATAGTAATCTCTATTAGTCCCTGACCAACAACCTTTTTTCTCAATCGGTTCCTAATTTATATTGTTAACCAATGGGGTCCCCAAAAATCTTCAATTTAATCCTTCTATTAGCAAATATGTATAATATTGTTTATAAATAGTAAAACTACCGAACACACAACTGTTGAAAATATGCATTCTTAGTCCTGTTCTTCGTATTTGTAAAAAGTTCTCCTAACAAATCGAACCCCTCTAATTGATATTGTTAACCAATTGGGTCCCTAACACAAGAAATCTTCAATTTAATCCTTCTATTAGCAAATATGTATAATATTGTTTATAAATAGTAAAACTACCGAACACACAACTGTTGAAAATATGCATTCTTAGTCCTGTTCATCGTATTTGTAAAAAGTTCTCTTAACAAATCGAACGCATCTAATTGATATTGTTAACCAATTGGGTCCCTAACACAAGAAATCTTCAATTTAATCCTTCCCTTAGCAAATATGTATAATATTGTTTATAAATAGTAAAACTACCGAATGCACAACTGTTAAAAATATGCATTCTTAGTCCTGTTCTTCGTATTTGTAAAAAGTTCTCTTAACAAATCGAACCCCTCTAATTGACATTGTTAACCAATTGGGTCCCTAACACAAGAAATCTTCAATTTAATCCTTCCCTTAGCAAATATGTATAATATTGTTTATAAATAGTAAAACTACCGAATGCACAACTGTTGAAAGTATGCATTCTTTGTCCTGTTCTTCGTATCTGTAAAAAGTTCTCTTAACAAACCGAACACATTTACAGGCTTAGAGAGCCCACGGACCTAGAGAACATACCCTCCATGGAGTCCACTTAGAGATATCTATCATAGTTTGGGCCCCTTTATGTGAACAGTATTAAACTAATATGTTCATTTATAATGGATCAGGACCGTATTTTACAGATCAGACGAGCCCACTATATGGCCCATTAACATGTTGATGGGCTAAGAGCTATGTTTGTCAAGCAGATCAAAGTTAGATCGCTACCATTTCGTTTCGAATTATTATATAGATATTTTTTGAATTTTTAACTATATCTAATTTTTATATATTTTTATGATAAAATAACAAATCCTTAATTTCTTTACATGTCACCACCAGATCAAGACCTTCTTATATGCAAGTCAAAGATAATGCTTGATTGATAATCTTTTTATATTCAAATTTCTTTAGATATTTATTATTTCCTTTGTACTGGACTTTTCTATTTTTAAATTAAAATTTAATTATTCTTTTATTTTTTAGATGCTTAACATTTTGTTAATTTATTAAAATAAAATAAAACTATCGGTTACTATTTATTGCATCACATGAAACATTATTCACTCGCATTTATTTGCATTATTCATCAAGAGTAATATGCATTATTTATTTTAGTATACAATGGCATTTTTATAATTTTAAAAAAATTTTAAGATATTTATTATGAAATTTTTGTGACATTAAGCTTTGGTCCCTTTTTTAAAATATTATTTTTTAATTCATAAATATTTTTTGTTTAATTTTGATCCCTTTTTTTTTCTTTTTGGTCACTTTATTCCTTTCTTATTTTTCTTTGATTTTTTAATTAAAAAATTTAAGACAAAAAAATATTTAAAAAATAATTTACAAAATCAGTTTTTAAGCAAGAATCTATTGATAATTTTTTTAGTTTGTAGATAGAGATAAATAAATAATGTTTTTTAATAAAAAATTTATAAAAAATAATATAGAGAATAATCAATCAAATATAAATTTTTGATTAAAAATTGAATGAAATTTTATTAAGTTTTAATTTGATATATTCTGATATATATACAATATAATACGGAGTATCAAACTAAAATAATTTTATATGTTTTGTTTGATCCGTAGCATACCAAGATCGAAAAAACTAACACTAAACTATTTGAAATTGTTATATTTACATATTTGAATTATGATAAATTATCATATACAATATTGGAGCATTGTGTGATGTGCATTTGTCAAAAGATCAACGTCTCTCCCACTTTGCACCCTCTTTCTTTGTGATTTCCTTTGCACCGATCTAGACGAAGTGGCGGGAAGAATTGGTTAACAAGGACAAGATCTTGACATCAAGATGTAACCTTTTGAGCTAGAAGTAACGTTGGAATGGTATGAAACTGAATTTATTTTCCATCAAACAGCTTGTCTCGATTATTTAGATTCTCTCTTCAAGCCAGTCAATAAAAGTCGGTGACATTACAGATCATTGAAAAGACATCAATAATATTGTCGATGGAAACTTTAGTTTCGATACTTCTCTGACTACATTAATTGTTTAGATCTCCACTCGAGCGAAAGAGACAAGAAGAAAAGGAGTAAATTATAAATTAGTCTCTCAATAAACAAATCAATTAGTCTTTTTTTTTTTTTTCAAAACAACTGATTATTAATTTTTACATTTTAATTTAATAATTTTTTTATTATTTTTTGTTAAATTAATAATTTTTATTTTCAAATTGTTCTTATTTTAATTTTTGATAGAAGAGAGAGAAAGAAAGTGTATGAAAGAAAAAATAAGGTATCAAATAACAAATCATTTGAGAAAAAAATCATTAATCTAACGAAAAACTGATAAAAATAACTAATTTATTGACATAATTAAAATATAAAAAATTAAATAATTATTTTTTAACGAGGAGGATTAGTTTATTTATTTTTTGAAATGAGATAGACAAATTTATACTTTACTCAAAAAAAAAATTCTAGTGTATTTTTTATAATACGATTAGCAGTGTTTTTAATTTGAAAAAGTTAGTATTTTTATTTAAGATGTTTTTTAATTATTTTTACATATTCATATCCAAACCATAAAAAAACACTGAAAAATATCATATTAACTCAAATGCATTTTGAAAAGAGAATTTTAAAAAACATTCAAACTGCAATACTAGATAAATGGAGCTTTCATGTCGAGCAATCAGCGTTTCCAAGGTTAGACTGTTAAGTAACAAAGTGGAAATTGTTTTAAAAGACTTAGTCATACTTTTTTCTGTGCGACAAGAATAGAAGTTAATTGACCTGCCGACAGAATTTTCCAAATATGAACACAGAGTACATTTTTGTTTGAAAATTTTAGCCATACAAATTTCCTTCTTCTTTGTAAGAGTTGGAATTTTATTTTTTTTTAATATTTAAAATTTAATGTGTGTTGACATGGCAATTACTTTCGAATTAAATAAATTGCAAATTCTTTTACAAATCTTGATACAACAAGTCTAAATAAATAAGGATTTAAAAGTTTAAATAAAATAGCACATTTGAATCATTTATAAATACTAAATAAGAAAATTTTAAACTAGAAATTTCGTGAAATCTTTTAGCATAATTTCGATTATAAAAATTTCTAAATCCAAATTAGTGAAATATAAATCATTCATGTCTTATAAGAATTTTTTTTTTTTTTAACTATCGACCAATCCAGTTGTCAATTTTTCATTAAAAAAAACCTTTCATAATTTAAAATATTTATTTCGGACGTAAATATTCGTAACTTATGGGATAAAGTGAATCAAGAAAGAAGTCCAAGAATCGATCTTGAGCAAAGCTAGCCAAAATTTTTGAACCCAATAATTTAGACATACCATATGCCCAATGCTAGCTTCTATAAAGAAAATGTACATTGCTTGCCCCACCTAAAAGTATTATTAAAAAGTTAGCAAACTTCCAAGAAGAAAGTTCAAATGTGGTTGTATGGTTGATGACCCAAGCATTGACTTGGGTGTCATGTATCAATAAAAAATAAGTTTATTAATTTCTAAAGAATATCAGTAAAAAAAAAAAAAAATTCATGCGATCCTTAAATAAATCAGAGGGGAAAAAAATACAGGTAGGTGTAGGTAGTTATCTGAAATATGAAGGCTTTTAGCCACTTAGTAATTATGTTAAAAAACGAGAACAATTATATAGCACAAAAATTAACGTATTTTGATAATTGTGTTTATTCTACAATTACACTAAAATTTTTTATTCAAATTTTATTAAGTGACGGTTATAAATACAAGAGATGTTATCACTATTTATAGAGTAAACAACAAAAGTTATATTAAAAAAACCTAACGGGCCTATATATATAGCTCAATATTCTATAGATCTTTCGGGAATTTCATCTCCGATCAAGGCCCCTGCAAGGAGCATTGCTCCCTTGACTCTTGTTCCTAACCGGCATCTTAAATTGCGAACCGAATCCACATCAATCTTTACAACTTAATAAATTATAAAACAATGAGATGTAACAAATTTTGCTCTTCTTCAAAATTTACATTATTCTCTAATAAATTTTGTGTGTGTATTACATCTAAGTTATTTTTCAATTAAGTT